TCTCCTTACCTGGCTCCCTTCCAGCCTATTCCCTGGCAGTGATCACAGCCTGCATCCTAGCCTCCCTCTAGACTAGTGCTGTTTGTAGTGCCTGCTGCTGTGGCTCTGCCTGCCACCCCCATCCTAGCATCTCCAAAGCACGACAGACCCAAGGGCTTTGGCTGCAGGTTTTCCAAAAGAATGGAACACCAACTTCATGATGAGGACAGACGTCACCTGTCAGCTGCACCTTGAAACCAGTCACTACCTAGGGCTGTGGCAGACTTTGATGGCCCAATGCAGTTCTCTGGAGAAAGCTACCTTTTTGTAGGGTGCCTACGTGCATCACCCTGGATAATGCTGCAAGCCTTCCCTGGTCTTGTCCTCAGCCGTTGCTTTTTCAATAGGAGTTATTTTTTTGTGCACCTCAACTGAGTATGTGAAATGAACAGGTCTGGATAATTGAAGGGCTATACAGGTTTTACAGATTCTCTCCTAATTGCATAGCTTAAAAGAAGCTAAGTGGTCCTCGTTTGCTTGGTGACCTACTGACCTCAGACACCACAGTGAAGCTAGTCTGGCAAAAACCCTCTTTTATGTTGTAGAGTCACCACTTGACCCTGTCAGTTTAACAAGGAATGACCTTGCCAATAAACCAATTCTCCCTCTGCTTGGCGTCTGCTCTCATGGCCTCCTGGAGGCAGGGTGAACAGTTCTGTGTGCATTTTCAAGCCGTTTATAGTTTCCTGTCACCGTCCAAAACCCGTCCCAGGACTGTGCTCAAGTCTTGGAGCGATTCTTTCTCCTCAGAGATAAGGGAGCTGCACATTAACCAAGCCTGGCATGCGTGTGTTTCACACAGGCGTAGACTGTTATCTTCCTAGAGGGCCACATCTCTCCGGGGTGGCACCAAGTTGTTTCCTTAGTCACTGAATTACATGGCGGGTCAAGAGATTCATTTGTAAGAACCATACATAGCAAAGTATAGTTCGTAGGAGCAGGAGGCCTCCCTAGTCAGCATTTACTGTATTGTCCTGTTGACCTGTTACTTCCTGCCTGCTAAATAGGAGGACTGGAGCTCTGTTAGATGTTGAGGAAGCTTGCCTTCCTGTTAACTTGGGAATCAGAGCTCTATCAAGCTGAAACCCTGGCGAGTTCAGAGGTTAAGGCACCCTGGTTTGGGTACTGGGGCTTCAGTACTGCAAGACAGTTGTACCTAAACTGCATCATAGTCCCCTGTGCACTGCCTGTTTCCTCATAAACTACATCATAGTCCCCTGTGCACTGCATGTTTCCTCATAAACTGCATCAGTCCCCTGTGCACTGCATGTTTCCTCATAAACTGCATCATAGTCCCCTGTACACTGCATGTTTCCTCATAGACTGCATCATAGTCCCCTGTGCACTGCATGTTTCCTCATAAACTGCATCATAGTCCCCTGTACACTGCCTTAGTCACCACCCTCCCTTTGACACCAGCTGCGCTTTTAAAAATCTTTTTCTATTATTTTTTACATCCCAACCCCAGTTCCCCCTCCCTTCCCTCCTCCTGCTCCCCTTCCCTCCCCCTACTAAGTCTGTCTCATCATCTAGTTGGGGCAGGACAAGGCACCTCTCCACCCCCACACTGTGTCTAGTCTGGGCAAGGTATCTCTCCACATAGAATGGGCTCCACTAAGTCAGTTTATGCATTAGTGTTAGGTCTTGGACCCACTGCCAGGGGCCTCGTATATTGTCCCAGTCGCACCACTGTCACCTCTATTAAGGGAGTCTAGTTCAGTCTTATGCAGGTTCCCCATTTGTCAGATCTGAGGCAGTGATCTCTCACTAGCTAGGGTCAGCTGATTCTGTGGGTTTCCCCATTGTGGTCTTGACTCCTTTGTTCATATTATGGCTCCTCCCTCACTTTGATTGTACTCGAGGAGCTTGGCCATTGGTTAGTTGTGGGTTTCTGCATCTGCTTCCATCTGTTTCTAGAAGAGCTCTAGCTTCTCTGGGTTGTGAGTGCACTGCCTGTCTTGCCTCTCCACATGCTCACCTGCGCCTCCACTCCCTCCTACCCCCTAGAGCCCCCGAGGGAAGCCTGCCTTGTATCATATACCTGGGGATAGCTCTAGATGGCTTCCATAACCAGATTATCCTGTGGGTCATGCTCACCAGTATCACTGTTCCTTGAGTGCAAGATGACAAACAGGCACTCAGGAAGCAGAGGCAAACGTCACTGGGAGTTTGAGGCCAGTCTGGGCTACAATAAGACCCTGTCTCAAAAAATAAAGTAGCTAGAGGAGCATTTTCTCTTCGGCCTGCCCATAGGGCCCTTGATGGTTCAGATTTTCTACATCCCCGCCCCCTCCTGTGTGTTACCCAGCACTGTGCTGTAAGAGTCTTGGCTCTGCATGCAGTCCTCCAACCGAGCCAGTGTCAGTCAATGGCAGGCCTCCAAGTAGTCATTTGCTGCCTGACTAGGTCATTGTAAGGTACATTAATGTTTGGGCAGTGGTCTCCAAGCAGGTCCTATGACCAAAAGCATTCATGCCTCTCGGGAACTCACTAGGCACCATGCCAGACCTACTTGGTCTGTCTCCAGAGCACTACAGGGTGAACTTAGTGAGAGCTCTCACCCCCTCCCCACCACAGACACTAGAAAGTGACTCAGTGGGGGATAATCTTCCAAGGAGTTGCCCCAGGCATGATTTGCAGATAACCAAAGGCTCCTGAAAGGTGTAGAGCAGGCCCTTCGAGCTACAGTAACGGGTAGGCTGGATACGATTGGCTTCTGAGGAAGGCAGCACATTCCAATGTGGAAGGAATGGGCTACACTGGAGATGTTGTACATTACATTGGGAGTCAAAAGCAGGCTGTGGCTGTCTCTCACTGGTAAAGAGGGCTTGCCCAGAATATGGTCAAAGCAAGACCCTTGGCTCATTCAGTACCTAGCAGCAAAATAATACACGGGGAGGAAAAAGATAGGTGTGTCAGATGTAGCCAATTATAAATGGCTTTTAGAAATGTTCCATGCTAAATATCTGGATATTAACAAAACTGTCTGGAATTCAAGTGGAGCCTGGCATCTGGCCAAAGGAAAAGTCTTTGGATTTTGTTGTTTGTGTTAGAGACAGGATCTTGTGTAGTCTAGGCTCACTTCCAAAACTGAGAATGACCTTGAACTCCTGATCCTTCTCCCTCTACCTCCCAAATGCTGGGATTACTGTTGAGAATCATAGCTTCCAGAAAGGATGAGCATTAAGACCTTGGCTTCTGTGAGAACAGAAGTTAACCATGCTACACATTACTTGGACTGCTTTCAACTGGGTGATGTTTGTCAAAGTTTCCATTACCCAAGTGGTCCCCAGTAGTCACAGTAAGGAAATCTGTGCTTGCATACCATGCTGCGTGAACCGCCATGCTGGCTGAGGTACCTCAGTGATGAAGTCAGCGTACTTAGTAGACTGAACAGGGGGGCAGACTGTGCACCACACAACCATGTCTCAATAGTGTTCCCCAAAGGTCGATTGCTGAAAGCTTGGTCCACAGTGTGACAGTGAGTGGCTGAGGCCCAGTGCAAGGTTTGGGAGACGCTGTCCTCAAAGGGGTCAATACTTGTCTTCCAGAGTTAGTGCTCCTGAGACCAAGCTCTGAGGACAAGAATGGGATGGCTCATGTCTATAACCCTTGCACTCAGAAGGCTGAGGAAGGGGAGCACCATCAAGTTCAGTGCTGCTGACTTCCAGGCCAACCTGAGCTGGTTTAGACCGTCAGCATGCCTGAGCTTTGACTCTCTCTTGCTTCCTGTTACATGTGCTCCCTTGCATGTCCTTCTACCAATGTGATGTCATTACCCATGAGGCCCTCCAGAGGCTAAAGATGGGACCACCTCATACTGGATCGTCATCTTCCTACGCTGTAGAAGAAATAAATCTCTCTTCTTGGTAAAGCAGTTGGCCTCAGGTATGGTGTTATAATGGGAAACAGGTCAGCATGTTGCCTAGAGGAGCTCCACAGTCATGCCTGAAATGCTGGCTTTCAGATACACAGGCAGTCAGGGGCCCTCATGACAATGCAGCCATGCTAGAATTAAAAACCAAATTACCTATACAGAACCAATCTTCCTGCCAGTCATCGTTTGTCCTGAGATTTCAGCATAAAAATGTGGGAGGAAAAACCAAAACTAATGACTATCAAGGTGGCTGGTAGGGCAAGTGCCAGCAGCAGGTGACAGCAAGGTGATGCTACTGCCTCCTCCTCCACCTGCAGCAGCAGCAGGCAGCCACCAAGCCCTTCCTGTCCTTGCTAACTATTTTGTTGCAGTGACAGATGACCATGTCTTAAGTCACTATATATACCATCTGCCTGGGTTTTCAGGTGACCTGCACTTGACAAAGTCATTACAAGGGGTTTTGAGTTTACCTGTGGTACTGGGCATCAAATCTAGGGCCTTGTGGTAGTTTGCATGTAACTGGCCCCTTAATCCCAAAGGGAGTGGCACTATCAGGAGCTATGCCCTTGTTGAAAGAAGTGTGTCACGGGGTTGGGGGGGTGCTGAGGTCTCTTTTGCTCTAACTTTACTCAGTTTGACACAGTTCACTTCCTGTTGCCTTCTGATCAAGTTGTAGCCAGCGCTATGTCACCCTGCATGCCACCATGCTCCTCACTATGACAATGGACTGAACCTCTAAAAAACTAAGCGGCCACCTCAATTAAGTGTTTTCCTTTGTAAGAGTTGCTATGGGGGCTGGAGACATGGATCAGAGGTTAAGAGCACTGGCTGCTCTTCCAGAGGACCTGAGTTCAATTCCCAGCAACCACATGGTGGCTTACAGCCATCTATGATGAGATCTGGTGCCATCTTCTGGCCTGTAGGGACACGTGAAGGTGGAATACAGTACACATAATAAATCAAAACAAAAAAAAAACAAGAGTTGCCGTGACCATGGTGTCTCTTGAAGCAACAGAAGTCCTAAGTAAAACAGGCCTTGTGCGTATTAGGCTAATGTTCTACCACCTGAATTATATTCCAGCTCTTACATGCTACAAAAGCTTTTACTGGAGGCACTGATGATGCTCAAGCTCCCCTTGGGAAAGACACACCTGCTCTCTTGGGGAGCATGACAACATCACCTAGCGTGAAGACGATTAGCGCCTTCCACTGTCAAACTGATGGGAAAAACAGGAACCAGACGGAAGGAAAAGTCATGACAGGTATTCAAAGGCTGTTTCAAATTAAATAAGTTCAATTGTCACTCTAGCCAGGTTCACTAGGAGCTTGTGACCATCTAAAGTGCAGCAGTGAGCATGCTGCCAATGGCTACAAGAGGCAGAGAGACCAAGACCCAACAAGCACCAGGCTGCTGGGGGCAAGGCGACTTTTCCTCTGCAGTTTCTAAAGGTCCCACACACAGTTCTCCAAGAGATTAAAGTAGGGAAAACGAAAGGGAAGTCAAAATCCACCTGGAGGAAAATGCAAACCATTTTGCATGTGAATGTTGGCTTCCAGCCAAATAAAATCAGTGTTCTCCTGTCTGCACATAGTCTTCTGTGACCTGGGTCAGGGTGCTCAGGTACTGCCAGCTCAGAGCAGCCAAGAGCATGACAAACGACAGGTAAATGGGGGAGTAGTGGCTTCGGGAGATGAGCTGACAGTTGGGAAGGCTCTGTGTCCTGATGGTGGAGATGACTTCCTTGGTTTTGCTGGAAGACGGGTCCGAGTTGGGGATCCGGTGATAAATCTGTTAGAGAAAGAAGAAAAGCTACTTAGCACTGTCATTTTTCATGGTTGGTCTAACAATACTCAACAGGTAGATGCTCTATGCCCACGTCACCAAGGAGGAAGCCGAAGCACCACCTAGGCCTGTCCTGTAGACGACAAAGCCAGTGCCGTGCACACACCTCACCACAAGCCATTAGTGGCCTGAGCAGCCACCGTACCACTTCAGATCCCGATTCCCTAGGTGGCAGGCACGGAGCAGGTGGCCAGTGCGTTCTGGCAGGATGCAGTTAGGATGACCAAAGGCATGTGTTGGATGGGGAAGACTCCAATCCCAGCAACTGGGCAAAAGTAGCTCAGATAAACAGGGTCTCACGTAGTGGGAAAAACAGAGATCATATCGCCGGCAGTCCCGCAAGGACCTCCTCCACACTGCCCCTTACAGCAACCTGTACTTCAGCAGTCCCGCTCTCCTGCCACATCCATGCCACCACAGTCCAGGCATGCCCTTCGTGACTCCCATCTGAGCCCCAAATCCACTCACCTGTTCACACGGTCAACAGAGATGTACAGCCTGTTCTCACTGACCCCCGCGCCTGCCCTCCCCCATTACCTGCAGACTATCTGAGCTCCTTACTGTGGACATGGGGTGACTTGGGCCACACCCTCTCCAAATGCACAGGCCACTGGGTACCACTCTCCACATATGCAGTGACATTGCCACTTCTTTCTCCTTCCTCACACCTTCCACATGGCACCTCTGTATACCCTCACCAGTCTCTTCCATACCCCCAAGTGTCAACTGAGTCAAACTGACAGGTGACTGGCAACAAGTGATGACAATCTGAGCCAGAACTGGGGCATGAGGGAGGACGGAACAAGCATTTTACAGATTTTTAGCCTGGTACATGGTGTACATTTCATCATTTAAGCACTTGGGAGGATGGTGAGTTGAGCACAGCCTGGGCTATATGGTGAGATCATTTAAAAATGAACAGGACCCAGGGCTGGAGAGGTGGCTCAGCAGTTAAGAGATCTGTTCACATCATCCATATGGAGGCTCACAGCATCTGAAACTGCAGTTCCAGGCAGAGTTCCTGGTAATGCAGGATTACTTCTGACCCAGAAATGCAGGACTTCATTCTACAGAAGAAACCAGGACACATGAAGGGTGAATGCGGGTTGTAGCATTTAGTTTTGACACCCCACTGGTAGACATACTGGCTTTGCATCACTACAGTGGACTATCCGAATTCACTTACAAAGAGAATGGGATACTTTGGGCGAGTGTTGGAGGTGCAGCCTATGACTGATCACCCTACTATTTGGGGCCTGTGGCAAGGCAACACATCATGTAAGTGCATAGTCATGTAAACCTTCTATATCCAGAACCAGGGAGTAAAAGAAAGAATAAAATGAAGAGACCAGTCCTGTCGTCTTCAAGGCACACCCTTGAGAACTGGAATGACCAGCCCCAGCCTGTGGGTTAATAAGGAGTGTGAGGGGTTTTTCTGGTGCTGTTATAAGCAGAATTTTTTTATAGTTCTAAATTATTTTATTTTTTATGTGTGTATATCTGTGCGAATGTATGAACAGGCCAGAAGTAAGTATCCAATCAGCTGGGCCTAGAATTACAGGTGGCTATGAGCCTCTTGGTGTGGATGCAGGGAACTGAACCCCAGCTTCTCTGCTTCAGCCACAGACACTCTTAACCACGGAGCCATCTCTCCAGCCCTCTACACTTAACTTTTAGGGGATTCAAAATGCCCCCTCTGACCTCCTCAGGCACCGCACTCTTAACCACGGAGCCATCTCTCCAGCCCTCTACACTTAACTTTTAGGGGACTCAAAATGCCCCCTCTGACCTCCTCAGGCACCACACACACACTTGGTGCACATACATATATGCAGGAAAAATATTCATACACATAACAAAAATGTATCTTTACAAAAAAAAGTTAAGTGCAGTACTGTATGCATGTAATCCCAGGCAGCATAGCAAAGCCCTGGCTTTAAAGAAAAATATTAGCTGGGCGGTGGTGGTGCATGCCTTTAATCCCAGCATTCAGGCAGAGGCAGGAGGATCTCTGTGAGTTCGAAGCCAGCCTGGTCTACAGAGCAAGTTCCAGGACAGGCTACAGAGCAATACAGAGAAACCCTGTCTTGAACAAAAAGAGAGAGGAAGAGAAAGAAAAAGAAAACTATTAAAGAATTAAAGCTTTAGTATCACCTCTTTCTGATTTTCTGTGGTAAGAATATCAGATACTTCTGTGGAAAAAATATCCACTGTATAATGAAAATTTGAAATAAAATTATTTATTATTACTGCTATTGTATTGATTACATATTTATGTATGAGCACACGCATGCCATTGCACAAGTGTTGATGGTCTTTTTCTATCAAGTGGGTTCTAGGGATCATACTCAGGCTTAGTAGCAGGTGCTTTTTACCCACTGAGCTATTTCTCTGGTCCTTTCAGCTGATTATTATTATTAAACAATTTTAAGATTTGTTTTGCTTTATATGTATCAATGCTGTGCCTATGTGCAAGTATGTGCACCATGTCTGTGCCTGTTGGATCCCCTGGAACCGGCGTTATGGATGTTTATGAGCTACCATACAGGTGCTGCAATCAAATCTGGGTCCCCTTAATAGCAACAAGTGCTCCTAACCACTTAGTCACCTCTCCAGCCGCAGCCCGTTTTATTTTTATTTTAAAGGATTTATTTTTATTTTATGTGCATGGGTGTTTTGCTTATATGTATGTCTGTGTACTGTGTGTACACTGCCCACAGAGACCGGAAGAGGGTGGTGGATCTCTGGACATGCAAGGGCTCTAGGATGTCCCAGGAATTTCATGATTAAGATAGATGGCAATGTCAGTAACAACTAGAGTTCTTGTCCAAGGCATTAGCTGGGTAATAGCCATGAAATATCTACATGATAGGAAAATGAGTGAAATCAAGACATAATGCCAAGCAATCCACCATCTAAAGAGTAAGTAGAAGCAGAAAGGCTCAGGAGCAGGAAGAGGAGAGGTTAAACAGGAGACAAGCATCACCGAAGACAGGAAAGCAAAGGGCATCAAATGACTTGAGGGGGGTGATTTAAAACAAACTGGTTTTCGGGTCTCTTATCAAAGGCCGCCAGATTATTTCTCACTCTTCCGGGTTATACACACCCAGGTGCTAATCTGTACAGTTAAGAAGGCCCAGAGCAGCCACATGGAGGGAGTCAGAAGGCGCAGGAGCATTAAAAGCAATGGCTCTTGCCAAGGAATTTAGTTGGCAGAGTAGGGAATGGAAGTTTCCAGGTGTTTGCCCACACTTTACTTCTATCCAAAAATAGGAGGAAGAGTTCCCTGCCAACAGGTTCGAGGGCTGTCCTGAGTGAGGCTGCTCTGGTCACTGCTGAGCGGTCGGTCTGTCCACCTGCTCAGAAGGACGTGAGCCTTTACTGCACCTCTCTGTAGGCATTCGTGGTCTCTGGGAAGCCCTTTCCTGGTACTGTCTCAGTACAACTGAGGAGACAGACTGCACAAGAAACATGTCCTCCTTTCCTACAAGGGCAGAAGTGATCTGTGAGGACAAACAGGGTTGGCTCCAAGTGGCATCTAGACACCAGCAGGTCAGCTTACCTGTAGACCTTGTATAAGTCTTGACTGACTGACTGATTTTGAGACAGTCTCACTCAGGTCGCTCAGGCTGGCCTCAAACCTGCTATGCAGGTGAGGAGGACACCTTCAACTCCTGATCCTCCTGCCTCCCCCTCCCCAATGCTGGGATTATAGCCATGTTCCACCATGGCAGGTTTACAGGGTGGGTGCTGGGGATCAAACCTCGGGCTTTGTGCATGCTGGGCCAACACTACCTGCTGAGTTGTATTTCCAGCTGCAAGTCTTCATTATAAAAATATCACTGGGAAATTTTCATTAAGGCTAATATTAGAGGTTAGATTTTATTATTTGAACTTTACAATTTCAAAACTTTTCTGCATCAAATAAACTTAAATATTAATACATCCTTAACCTTGCATTTCTCTGGAGTAACCTTAAAGAAAATTAGAAACCCTGGATTGGAAATCAGCGAGCTTTCTCTTAAAGGGCCTGAAGTTATTTTTAGCTTTCTGGGCTACTGTGTCGTAACTATTCAACTCTGCCCTGAAGTTGCAAAAGCAGCTAGACAAGGAGAGAACACAGTGACTGAGTTACAACAGTAGTGTTCACAAAAACAACTGTGCCACCTTTGGCCTCAAACTCAACCCACCAGCAGCACTTAATTCTAATAGTCAAGAAAAACACAAATAAAATAAAAAATGAACTTTAATGCCCATGAAGGTTTTCAAAACTGATTTTCTAAAATTAGTGATCAGTAAACCAGGTAATCCCCAAATTGCACCTGGAGGGACCAGTGAGTTCAAGGCCAGCCTGAGCAGACACTATGCCCCAGTCACATATTACCTGCTATGCAAGCCTGGGGAGGTATGTGTTGCTTTATAAGGCAGTTTTGGCATTTGAAATGAGAGTTGCAGAAAAAAACAAACACTTGAGAATTGATTGCAACTTAACAGCCTTACTCTGTCTACACTCCCTCCTGGAGTTTTTCAAATGAGATCTGTGACATGAGCATTTCAAATATGAGATTCACTCAGCCACGCTCTGCATTAACTTCCAAAAGCCTCTACCGCACATCTTTCACCCATCAAATAAGCTTGGCTGGTTTCCTGGAGGCTTTGGAGGACAGCCTTGCTTCTCTTATGTCATCACGGGTCCTGTAGGGCTATTATTTTCTAATAAGGGATACCAACTATTCTATTTAGGCTATAACACTAAGTAGTGAGGACTATCTACTATCCAAACATGATCTGGTTAAACAGTGGCATGATTTAATGCATAAAAACAGCTACGGATTACTCAGAAAATGAACTAAAAACCCACCTCTTCTATGTACTGGTGTATGATAGCTTTGACGGCTGGCATGTTGGTGGCATCCATCATGAGGGTAACTGCTTGTCCCTTCCGAATCTTCACTACTCCTCTGAAAACTTGCTGATTGTTATAACAGGCAGCCAGCGTAGCGATGGCCATTACCTACAGTTAACAGGAGAGGGAGAAATCTCAGGTCAGGAAGATGTAACAAAAGGCACTGTTGCAAACACTCACCGTAGCAAAGCCTTTGGGTGGAAAACACAAGTGCCAAAGAGCCAGCCTGCACCAGTCAAGCAGCACCACCCAGGAGGCTGGCAGACTCTCTTTGCAGCTCCCTCCTTTCTCAACAACAGCCACAACAATCCCATCTTATTTACAAACACAAGTAAACCCAACATTTTCCACACCAAAGCATTTCAAAATAATATCTGGAAAGAATTTTCTAGTTTATCCTATTATGAATATAATCATTATACATTAAAAACTGTGTGAGATGAAACAGGGAAGGGGGTACCTGTGCTCAAAAGTAAATGATTCTTACCTGATAGAAGCCTAAGCTAGGCATATAGACTCAACTGAGTGCCATTCAGAGCTCTCAGTACAACATAAAACCAAGCGTCTGAGAGTTAGTTACAGTGTAAGAATACACAGAGGCAGGGCTAGAGAGATGGCTCAGCGGTTAAGAGCACTGCCTGCTCTTCTAGAGGACCCAGGTTCAATTCCCAGCACCCACATGGCAGCTCACAACTGTCTGTAACTCTAGTTCCAGGGGATTTGGTACCCTCACATAGACATACATGCAGCCAAAACACCATTGCATATAAAATAAAAATAAAATTTAAGAAAAGAATAAGAGGATAGGATTGCTATCCTAGACTCAGAAAAGGATAAAAATACTTATTAGTGAAGAAGTGATTACATTTATTTATTCATTCCATGTGGATAAGTCATGTGGGATGCCAGGAATCTAACTCAGGTGGTCACTTAGTGTCAGGAGCCATGACCTGCTGAGATGCCTCATGGTAACAGCCTTACCCAGTTAACCAGCATGCCGGCCATCTAGGCTGAGGCAAGCTTTCCTTACTAGCATAGTGATCTAGCTAGTTTAAAATAGATGGTGGGAATTGGGTAAATCCAGATGGAAGGTTCTGGAAAAGTTGACTGTTCCTGAATGTGGTGCAAGGAATATGCTGTAACTCACTACCTACTCCTGAGCAAGAGAATACACAAGAGTCACTTTGTTAAGAAACCATGACCCTGAACACAGCAGAGCAAGACAGAAACTATACTCTACCCAGCCCAAGAATGACACTCCATACCTGTGGAATGGCACAGAAGTTAAACACACTTTGGTTCCGGAGCCTTGACAGGTAGGTGATGACGTGGGGGATGTGGTGCAGGGTGTTGGTTATGAGTTCATTCAAGCACTGCACGGCCACATCTATGTTTTCTGGCTTAGCAAAGTCTTCTAGCTTCTTAACGTATCTGCCCCACACCTGGCAGTCAAGAGTGCAGAACAAGTCAATAGGTGCACAAGTGGAGAATTTACATGTTATTATGAGGTTTGGGGGGGTGGGGCTGGAAGGGGCTCAGCATAGACCATTTAGCATGTGATGGGTGGGGACTGGGTCCCATCCTCAGCACCAAAAGGGAGCTGTGCTATACACAGTGAAATCACTTCACTGCTCACTGAGATCCAGCTGTTTTAGGCTTCAGGTAACAGCCATTTACAGCAACTAGTCAAGGTCCAATGACAACAAGAGACAAGGTGGCACATGGGAAGGTGTCCTTATAAATAACTAATGCAGCAGGCACCAAGCATTGCCATAATGACCTCAGCCTACAGAGGCCTCCTGCTGGTCAGGGAGGGTGTGAGTCTACTATTGAACACCCCCAGTACACACAAATCAATTCCAGTACCATAAGCAAACCATTCAAACCCCAAGATGGCCAATCCTGCTAAGAGTATTGTTGAGTCAGAACACGGTAGGGAGGAAATAAAGCAGGTGTGCATCACAGGGCAAGCGCCTCCCCAGAGCGTAGCAACCTGAATTCTCAGACCCCTCACTTCCAAAGTGTGAGGAGTTCAGTGGTTAGTTTTGGGTTTTGTTATTGTTTCTTTGGAACCACAATCTCCGCAAGTGACCTCAAAGCCCTGTTTCCAGCCCCAATCTCTGGAATGTTGAGATGACAGGTTTGTAGTCATCCTGCCTGCCCCGGTTTAAAAGATTTTTCTTTTAAATTTAAAAATCACTAAACATGACTACCTATTAAAGATCTGCTTTCATTTATGTGTCTATGTGTGTATATCCCACATGAATGTGGGTGCTAGGAACAAAAGTCAGGTCCTGTGAGAGAGCGGCAGGCGGGCTTAACTGTTGAGCCTTTGCTTAACAGGGACTGTTGAGCCTTTGCTTAACAGGGACCCAAATCTACCTAGGCAGAAAGTACTAGACTGTTTCACAGAACCTGGGGGTGGGGGGAACTTACAGAACGAATATATAGGCACCAGGAGGCTGAGGCAGGATGGGCATGAGGGTTAGATCAGTCTGGGCTACATGGCAAGATCTTGCTCAAAATAAAAACAGTAAAATGAAAGATCCCAAGGGTTTTAGGAAGTTTGTGCCTGATAACAAACACTGAGTACATACTGTTATTCTAAATCAAAGATAAGATTAATGAATTTAGCACTGGCAACTGGAAGTTTTACGCTACCACACTTATCTAAGAATTTCAGGAGTTTTGTTTGCATTTTTTGCAGTACCAGGCATCAAACTAAAGTCTTACATGTACTAGACAAGCACTCCACCTCTGAAGCATATAGACCCCAAGTCCCCTATCCAGTCTCAGTGTTTTGGTATCAATTTGTTTATTTTTTGAGTGTTTGCTCAGACTAGCTTTGAACTCAAGATTTTCCAGTCTCAACCTTGAGGATTTTAGGATTGCAAGAAGGTTTACATACCCAGCTCTGCTACTACAACTTTTTCACAATGGGATTATTTCATCCTTCCTTCCTTCCTTCCCTTACCCCTCCCCCAAACACACACACAGTTGGTGCTAGGAATCAAAGCCAACAGCCTCATGCCTGTACAAATCACTGTGCCACTGAGTCACATCCCCAGCCTGCAACATGGATGTAGAGAACAATGCAGAGAAAAACTTCCATTCAAACAATAGCACAGCAGTGCTCTACATTGCGGTTCTTCTCACTGGGACATAAAATGGAGATGACTCCACAGCAAGCAGTGTGGTTCTTTTGATCCTTACTATCCCATGAGCAGACCTACTGAGAAACTTTACCTTTACACATAGTAATTGTTATGGGAAGCCTCACTAGCAGCACGGTGCTCCCTGGTCTGCAGTCAGGCTAACTCTCCCACTTCACTCTGCAGAATTGTACAGGCTGAAGAACTGGTGCTCTTGATTCACAATGTGTCAATGAGACTCCGGGTCAGGACAGCCAGATTCCTCTTCTGGGTGGCGATCAGACAAGGCCCTTACCACTCTCCACCATTAAGGTGTCACCAAAGGAGAAAGCCAGGCATGAGCCTTTCTCAAGTCTGTCTGTCCAAATCACCTGAAAGTGTGAACACCCTACACGCTCATTTTTTCTGGTAGATGGCTGGTCTCTTTGTTGAAATCCCAGCAACCTCAAGGTTGGGCTGGAAAATCCCGAGTTCAAGGCTAGCCAAGGTTAGCCTGGGCATATGCTCAAACTTTAAAATTTGAGATTTTAAATAAAATAGTACCTTTTATATTAGAATATGAATTTCACATCTGTTATATGCATTACATATACATTTTCATCACTTTTTGACTTATCCTTTTATTTGTATTCTAAAAGCACTTGGCTTTAGGAGAACATTTTATGAAAAGCAAGAAGAAAATGCTGGAGGGATCTCAATAAATAGTCACTGAGTTTTCGAGCTTTTGTTCAATGTTCACAGTTTAATTAAATCAGGTCTTGTATAGTGGACATTCTGTAGTTTTTCTACTCAGCACCCCATCTGCTTTTTTTCTCAGAGTGGAGATTTGAACCCAGTCTTGTAAACCCTTAGCACACAGGATATCATGAGCCACATCTATGGTACCTTCTGTCCCTTACTGTCAGAGACTATCTTGATCCTATCTATCCCACTGTGTTGGCAGACCTAATGGAGGTCTGCAGTCAAGGACTCAAGCTGAAGCTAGAGGAATACATTCAGGGAAAAGCCCCAGCCCTGAGAGCTTAAGTTGGTTTGCCTAGGATTTATCTGTGACTTGGAGGAAGTCTGCCCAGAGACAGAACAAGGTCAAAGCCATTCACAGAGTCTGAACTGCCAGATGCAGATGGTCTACTCAAAGCAAATGACCTGATGTATTCTATACCTTCTGATGTCATCTAGGATATTTTGACTTAGTCACTTGCAACCATTGGGTTAAGTGACTCATTTTTCAGTCTAAAATTATTTTCCCCCAAGAACCCCATATCAGTCACCTCTTGAGGCCAAAATGCTCTTCCTTCTTGTTGGTCCTCCAGATAATCGCGAATGATATTTGTTTTCTGCAGGAATAGACCCATTGAGTTGGCACACTCTGTGTCTTCACCAACTAAGGGATCTTCAAACTCTGAGGTCGAGAACAGACGAGAAAGGCCAATTCCTACCAGTCCAGCAACGTAGTGACAATACTGCAAAAGATTATTGTATAAAGTACTTTAATAATGACACAGAAAGGTCTTGCCAGTCATCATTAGCTACAAGAGATGGAGTCCAGAGCAGAATGTCTGAGCTGTCCTTTTGACTAAAACACAAGCATGTGAGAAAAATACAATTAAGATATAACTACACTGTGTTCTTGACTCTATGTGAGCACTCTGCATGTATGCAACCCGGACACCCACAAGACCTGCTGCCATCCCTCCATTGCAAGATGACAAAAGTGGGACGCACAGAGGTCAATTACCTTGCCCATGATCACTCATCTGCAAAGCCTAGGCCACGAACCAGAGGTGTTTATTTTTATTTTATTTCTTCTTTCTTTTCATTTTGCATTAGGGTTTGAACTGCAGAGCTTTGCTGTTTTTTCACAGAGACCTGCCTGTCTCTGCCTCCTGACTGCAGGGAGTAAAGGTGTGCACCAGGCGGGATCTCCCTCGCTTTACTTTGGCCGTATTCTGTATGACCAGGAAGGTCTCAACCTTGTGCTCCTCCCACTGTAGCATCCAGAGCTGCTGGCTAAAAAGGTAGAACTATGAAGCCGGCCTAACCAGCATTTCTGAAAAGGGTCACCACAGTTTTGGCAAATGTAATGTTCAACTGCTAAAGAGTTTCTTTCCCATGAAAGCGCTTTGCTCATATACCTCCGCAAGGAGTATGCTGTTGACAGTAACGTGAAATCTGTAGACTTCATATTGGAAAACATGCCTGTATCTACAGTGCTAAGAAAAATGCATTTCAAGGTAACAGCTCTTGGGTGGAAACACTTCTACAACAGAGACCTGTAATTCATCTGCCTTCAAAACTGAGAGGAAAATAATTCATAAAACATTCAGCTATACCTGATCAGGTCTTCCATTCAACACAGATGAACAGGGGTTAGTACTGAATGTGCTATGCCAAGAGCTGGCCAGGAATTTTAACTTGGCGCTGAAATTCAGAAACTGATCTAGTACCAATCATGCATTTAATAACTTGGAAGGTATAAGAGGCAGTACCAAAGACATTCCCAATAAGATTGTTTTGTTAGTCAAGGTCTCACTGTGAAGTCCCTCATTGTCCTGGAACTTGTTATGTAGCCCAGGCTAACCTCAAACTCACGGGGATTTGTCTACTGAGTGCAGGGATTGAAGGCATATGCCACTATGCCTGGCCAAGTTTGGCATTTTGTTTTGTTTTGTTCAGTGCTGAAGTCAGAGTCCAGGGTCTGACTACATCCCCTGGACCCATACCGACTCAATTATGTCAGTCTATTTCAAGATCTGAACCTAAGCACTGTTAGAAATACAACTCACCTAAACTCTTGAGGTGTTTAAGAGATCAACAAGTAAGTGGTCAAGTCACTTCTACTGTCAGTCCCTTTGCCCAGGTGAGCAATCTACCGTGGTCTACCAACGCCTAGCCGGGCCTGTATCCCTCACTGCTAGAAGAAAGAAACTCTGGCCAGATAAGCTATTGCTGTGTTTGCTTTCATCCCCACTCTTCCCACTCTCCCCAGAAAGACGCACCATGTCCACAGGGAGAGCTCAGCTCTCTTCGTCAGCAGTTGCTATGGACTCAGGTTGTCTAAACTCTCATGCTGGGAAGTCTCCAGTGCAATGGTGATGAGACAGAGATGCCTTGTGGGAGATGGAGCCCATGAAGGTTCCATCCTCATAAGTGGATTAGTGCAAGTTATAAATGAGCTTCAGGCTGGGACTCCCATCTCTGGCTCTCTGGACATGTTACAATGAGACCCACAAGCAGTCCTCTTTAGATATGGCTTAACTTCCCAGACATTTGAGAAAGAAGGCATGGAAAACCTGGATACAGATAATTCTTTTTTTTTTCATCACTGGGGATCAAACCCAGGGCTTTAGGCATGCTGAACAAGCTCTCTACCACTGAACTACTCCAAAAACAAAGAAGAAATAAGTCCTCTGATGATTCATACACTGAAGCATGTACATGCACAGTATTCTATAATGGAAAAGAAAATAATAATAACAATCATTATTTTTGAAAATAATTTGAAAAACACTGCTATTTCTGTATTACAGGAAATGATTTGGCCATTTACCTAAAACTTCACAGTAACTCAAGGATAATATTATATTTCACTTTGGCAACAGTAAGCCCTCTAGGGCATGTACTGTTACTAACAAGGAGTCAACTTGAAGCTGAATGAGTATGAGGATATAGTCAATTTAAACATATTAGTTAAACCAAAAGAACCCCAATCTGGAGGATATGCTGTCCTTGTTCTGAGCTACACCATGGTGACAGCTGACTGTGCAACTTAGTAGATAGATGTGGACCCAGCTTACAGACACACTGACCTTGTCCCAGTCCTGTTTGGAGGTCACATGCTTGTCCACAAATTCCGCCATCCCACAACCCATTTTCTGGCAGATGTCAGCAATCACTGTTTGATATTTCTCAGCCAGATTTCTAAACTCCAAGGAGATCTGAAATGGAGACCACAAACAAAAGACAAGATTACACACTTCATGGTACCAAACAGAAATGCACAGCCCCGCAGAGCTCACAAGCCAGCTCAGACAGCCACCTCCCTTCATCAGCCAGGGTCCCCAAGCACTTACTTCTTGAAGCTAGTGTCTTTAACTCAAGCAAATGAAAGCAAAAGGTATCTAGTCAAGCAAGATAGAATTCTGTCTTCCAGGAACCCTGAGGGAAGGTCTGCATTTTTCTTCTTTAGGCTCTGCTGTGTGACATAAGCCAGGACTTCTCCCACCTTCAGGGAACAGAGCCACAACTGTGGCACACTCTCAGGCCCCTGTATCACTTGGTGGCCTTCCAAGGACATGGAAGCACATTACAGTGACAAGCCTCCTGGGACAATAAAGGCCAAAATCCCAAACAGGGTTGGAGGCTCAGGGACTTCCATTAACTTTCAAAGACAAACTCCTCCCCTTATGAAAGGCCTTGGACAGATCATGGTTAAAACACTGATTTGCTGTTCTCAGCCCCTCCTCCTTTTGAGACAGGCTCTCAGTCTGATATCCAGAACTGACTTAAACTCTTGGTCCTCCTGCCTTCACTTTTCTGGAATTACTGATATATGCTGGCATGCCTGGCTGTTTTAACCTTTTCTTTTCCTCTGAGTTTTTGTTTGTTTTTTAGACAAGTTCACATATAATCTGGCCTCAAACTCACTATGTAGCTGAGGTTAGCCTTGAGCTCCCAATCCTCCTGCCTCCACTGCCTCTACCTAAACCAGCTAAAAAGAGGCAGCAAAAAAGAAGCATGAGTCAGTACCAGGTTTCTGGGGCCAGGCACCCTGGGTTCCAATCCTGATTACTCATTTAGCCAAGGGACTTTAACTTCTCCATACCTGTTTCCTCATATGCACAAATGTTGTAAGTACAGATACACCACCGATGGTATAAGTATAAGCCAGGAGTGGTAGTACATTCCAAACGCTGAGGCAAACCCAGTGGTGGTAGTACACTTTTAGTCACATCACTGGGAAGTTCAAGACCAGCCTGGTCTATAGAGCAAGCTCCAAGATGGCCAAGGCTACACAGAGAAACTGTGTCTCAAGAAAACAAAACCAAACAAACAAACAAAAAACCCTAATGGCTAAGGCAGACAAACATGAGGTAGCATGGTCATATAGACAGTGCATCAAGTAAAGAGAGTTCACTTGGCTTATTCTCAAAACAAGGTAGATGCAAATGGAGGTTCACCCACATGTGGCAAAAACATTTACATTTATCAACTGGGCTAACAAACTGTCTTTTAAAGTACATTCTATCTACCCTGACTTAATAAGTGTATTTTGTAAGAACTTGAACCTTTTAGATTTGAATTTAAAATGCCTGGTACCTTTCAGGTTTATCAGAACAAACGCCTCAGCTCCCTTCCCTTCCTGCTGCAGCTCCGTCCAGCACCCGGACAGCACCTTAGCCCTGAAGAAAGGTGTCCCAGAGCCAGACTTCCTCTACAGCCTTTCTGAACACATCTTTTCCCTGTTTTCTTGTCTTATGCTGATTCCCAGAAATGAGAGGGTCTCTCATTCAGATAAAAACATGTCTCGATGTTTCACCCATCAGTACATAAATGGCTAACAATACTGTCAGCTCCCTTTTCTCTACCTGGGACAATTCGTTTCCTAACCTTCCTGCTCAAGCAGGGAAAGATCAACTTACTGCTCACCTTTGAATGGCAAGCATTCTCCTCCCACTGGACTGCCACAAGCATCAAGGAAGACACTGGGCTTTACAAACATACTGGATGAGGATCTGAAAATTACCTATCTCCCCCCAAATTACTTCAACATTCTCACATTTTTGTATTCTTTTGGCTATGTAGACAAGGCTACCTTAAATTTTTATGACCCATGAGAAAATTATCCCACAAGGAAGTATTTAAAGGTTATAATGTCCCTGCATGAAACAGTTTGGACCGGGTGTGGTAGCACAACCTTTTAATCCCAACACTGGGGAAACAGGCAAGTAGATCTCTGTGAGTTCCAAACCAGTCTAGTCCACACAGCCAGCTCCAGGCCAGCTAAGGCAACACAGGGAAATCCTGCTTCAAAAACAAACAAAAAAAACAAACAAACCAAAATGTATTTTGGAAGGCAAGTATGGAGTTCCTCAGGAGGTTGAGGCAGGAGGGTCACTAGTTTAAGGGCAGCTTAAAATACAAAGTGAGTTCATGGTCAGCCTGAGCAAATTATTGAGAAACTGTCTCAAAAAGAAAAACAAAACAAAAGGACCAACTGAGGATATAGCAGTAATAAATAAGAGTAGCTAGTGACCACAGGACCCTGAAGAGAGAAACAAACAGAAACAAAACTCACTTCTGCTACTAAAAAGGGGCAACCAGGTGGTTCATAGCATTTCATCTACACTAGCAGGGCTCAAGGCTCACCAGTGAGTTTCAGAGGAGACACATTCGCTGGCCATCAGGTACCTTGAGGACACCAAATGCACCAGCTCCTACCCTAGTCAGAGCCCTAACAGCTCACTCATTTCTCCAGACTTTCTTGGAGTCATAGCACAGCATACTATATTTTGGGCTTTGGACCTAAAAATATGATCTCAGCAAGTGGAAACAGTCCTTGCCCAAAAGGAGTCTTTCTCAAACCTGGCTGGACTCCCATTCCATTCACTCCAGTGCCTCTCACTCAGACGTATAGAGTAGATTCCTTTATTGTAAAAGTCATAAGGACTGTTCTCCAAACTCTAGAAAACTATGCACAAAACAAATACCCTCTTTAGGTAGGGTATCGGGGACCATGTAACTTTACTAAACATGCAAATTCTAGAAAAGGAAGAAGCAAGGTCTATGTACAGCATGAACTTTAGAACCCCTAAAGCTTAGAGCTTATTCTCCACCTCAAGAGCTACGAGCTACAGAACCCTGAGCATGCACCAGGCACTGACCTAAGAACTTTATAGCTAAGAAACCACCCAACTCTTGCAGCTCTACCCATGCAGATTGGGATACCAAGTCACAACTCAGGGAAAGTGCCAAGGATCTCACCTTAGCTGCTGCAGGAGCCCAAACCTGCCCATAGGTGTGACCCATGCTGACCAGCAATCCCAGACTGCCAACCTCTCTGCAGGCTACACTACAGTCAACAGGTCCGTGTGAGCCAGTCTGGAAATCCACTTTTTTTTTTTTTAATTTTCTGAGAGTCCATCTTTTAGAAGCCTGAACTGTGAATGCATCTTTCTGTAGGAACAGACCTGGGACTTCTCAACAATACCCTGCAGTAAGGATCACAGTCATGCTATCCTACCAGAATTAAAAACACTAGAGTTGGGGAGCTCTTATCGTCTCTACCATACAGAGAGAAACTGAGGTAAGGAGGGGTATATACCTCATTACCAATTAGTAAGCTGGGATTCTAACATCTGGGGCTGGACTCTTGGCTGCCAGAGTTGTTAGCCATCACATTCTGCTGCCCTCAAACTGTCATTTACCTCCCTCTCAGCTCAGGGGCTGACTGACAACAACCTGCACTGCCAATTGTCAGCATATGTACCCAGAAGAGAGTCCACTACCGTGGGGAAGTCCTCCAGCACTTGCCGGTCCTTCTGCGTGCTCTCCGTGAACCGCCACTCGGGCTCATAGAGGAAAGTGTGAAAGTTGCGCAGCATCGGGACCTTCTTCTCCACACTGATGCTCATGTCATCTTCCACGGTGTCCAGAGCTCGGAGAACCAGATAAAACACACAGACTGCATGGCTGTAAAAAAGCGAAGGCTATTAACATGGCAACAAACACATATTTTTCAACATTTATTTGTGTGTGTGTGTGTGTGTGTGTGTGTGTGTGTGTGTGTGTGTGTGTGTGAGCATGAATATATCCCAGCACATGTGGAAGGTCAGGGACAGCTCCTGGGAATCAGTCCTCCCTTTGGACCATGTGGATTCTGGGGACTGAACTCAGGTCTTCAGGCTGGCAGTGAATGTGCCTTTACTTGCTAAACTAATTCATTAACCTCTTTTTAAAAACAATTATTTTTAAATGACATTTAAAGCAGGACAGTGCTTCCTGCCTATAATCTCAGCTCTGGGGAGGCTGAGGCAGGAGGATCATGGGTTCAGGACAACCAGGGCTACAAAGTGAGACCCTTCTTCAGTAACTGTCATTTAACTTGTGCCAGGCCAATTTCTAAGTGGTCTTCCAAGTAGCTCTACAGACCTAAGAAGTGATATCCAAAGCCTGTCATACTTAGCATTTACATTCGCTTTCCTGTCTTTACTTTTTTATTTCTAAAAAGTAAAATGAAAACCTAAGCGGGTGGACGCCATACCACTCCTAGAATGCTTTAAATTTGACCAATGCATGTCAGGGACCAACAGGCAAATGTTTGCAGGAAACTAGTATTCTGAGGTGCAAAGCTTTTCAGCACGAATGCTGTCAGGGTAACTGCTGTAAACTTGTGCACAATGTGCACAAGAAGAAGTTTCTGAAGGCTCAGTATGCTTAAAATGTAGGGTGACAAACAGAAGCCAAGAAACACACAGGCCTGCTCACTGACAGGTGCCGGTGCCAGGACTAAAAGAAGGCAATAAGCATGGCCGCCCCACCCGCTTCTCTGAAAGGGCTGGCCAAAAAGGACATTGGTAGATAGCCAGGTGCCTGGAAGGGCATTTGCAAGTAAACATGTGGTCATAGTGTGTGTGTGTGTGGGGGGGTAGTCCTGCCTGAGCCACCACAACAAGAGCCCATAATTCTAAGTGGTGAGTCAACGTGGCTGCAGTGACTCAGAGACCCTGGAGAAGCGGTCCTCCCCTAGTCAGGGCTCGCCACTAACCGAATTTCCCCATCCAGCGCCTGGATAACGGCGGCGAAGCTGCGACTGGTCTGATTCAGATACTTGTAGCAGGTCTTCAAACTGCTGCTGAGCGAGTCCTGAGGGCAGAGAAGACATACCGTTGTGGCAGACGTGGAGCAGGAGTGGGGCTGGGGCAGGCAGCTGGCAGCTGGGCTCCGAGCCCGGGACCAATCCTTGCAAGGCCAGGTGGTGAGGGGCCAGGAGCAGCCCCCACGTGGGGGCGAGCCCGGAGTCCTGGGCGCAGCGACGGGGCTAAGCACCAAAGTGCGCTTGACCAGGGCCATGGCTTTGGTGCTACCGGTGGCTGCCATGGGGAGAGCGGCACGGAGCTCTTCCTCCATAGGCGCCCACCTCGCGGCAAGCCCAAGCTAAATTGCAGGGAGCCTCTCTCACCAACACGTGCAGGTCCCGGCCACGCCCCCTGCCGCCTCTGGCCACACCCCATCAGCAGGAACCCCTTCAGCACCAGTACTCTGTGAGTCTTCCTCTGCTTTCCCCAAACTGCGGGACAGGGGGGCTTGGACCCTGAGCAGCATGGAGAAGCTGGCTGTCACTCTCTGTGATGAGGTTTTTACTAGACAAAACTATCTATGCAGGCTCCTCTGAATCTTCTTTCTTCTCAGCTAGGCTGGCCTTTGGTAAACTGAGTGCTCTGTATTTGTGGTCTGTCTTACTACCCAGCTCTGGCCTTGAACTTGATTACACAACCCTTCTAACTCTACCTCCTGGGTGCTGGGATTACTCGCATGGACCACCGTTCGTCTTTGCACTACCCAATTTTAGTCAAAACTGCCCAACCTAAACACGTGACCACACAGTCCCACATAAACAATAACCCCTTACTCTCTGAAGTTACCCTTAACAGTCAGGACTGAGCCCATTTCTACCCTGAGGCTTCTTCACCCCCCTTCTGAAGACTCTGGCTTCCAATGGCCGCTGCACTGCTTTGCTGTCCCTAGCCCTGCTAAGACTGCCAGAAATCTTACCATCGCTGCTCTGAGAAGTGTGTCATCTGTGGTATGCAGTGAGCTGGTCTTTGCAAAGGAAAACAAGGACGGACAATACACACTTTGTAAGGAAGACATTTGGAAGATGTCTTACTACAGATGCCAACACAAACCTGCCGTTTTGTGTTGTGTGTGCATTTTAGATGGACGTTTTATGAGCAGGAAAATGAAGCTGCACACAATCTCTTCACTCATTCCAAGAAATGGGAAATACAATTATCTAAGGGGGGAGTCGTTTTTGAAATACAGCGTATCTGCTAGTAGGCGACCCACAGTTGCATTAGAATGTCAGAGAACCTTGGACCCTGGTGGGTCCTGTGAACTTTGTCCCTTTTTATTTGTGTTGCCTATGTTTCCTAATATGGATACACATAATTTTGTTCAGAGAGTAAGGCTTTCTTTCTTTTCTTTAAGATAGTCTAGTACATGAAAATAACACATAGTTTCAATGAATAAAGCAATATATTCACAGATGATTTTAAAACAATTCATTCTTTCAAAATGTGCAAAGACTTCATAGAAAAAAACTAAATAACTTTTCTCTTTTGAGACACCAGGCAGGCATGGAACTCATGGCAATCCTCCTGCTTCAGCCTCTTCGCTGCCCAAATTGCAGCTGTGATCAGCACCCAGAGCGAGCCGCTCTTTGCACAGCTCACTGTCATCATGCCCATGAGTTTCATCTGCCGTGAAAAGGGTCTAGGGGCTGCTCACCAGGGTTTGCAAAGAATGCAAAAAGGGCCAGAGGCACTGGCAGGTCTGAAGAGCAGTCTTAGAGAACGCCCACACCCACCAGCACCCCAGGGGGACAGCACAGGACCAGGACGTGCTTCCTTTGCCCCGCCACTCCACTTCTTTTTGCTTGTTTGTTTCTGGATTCAGTATGTCATCTTGAACAGCAGGTCCCTAAAATGACCAAGAGTCATCCAATTAAGGACGGTACTGCTCTCTGAATGTTGGCAAGATCTCATCACTGTGGACTTCCTGTATGTATGTCACAGCTACTGTCCCTAGAGCCTCCCATGTTTTTCACTGCTGATTGAGGCTAAGTACAGACCCAGACGCCTCCAGTGAAGGAACACAGGGTTCACGGGCATTCAGGACAGGGGAACGGATGACTAAGGAGGGCTGAGCTCCCAAGACTTAGGCTCCAGTTGATAGCTACCAGCACCACCCCTACTTCCCCACCAACACCACAATCTTCCCTTTTTGTCGTTGTTGTTTGAGACAGGGTTTCTCTGTGAAGTCCTGGCATCCAGCTCAGAGATCCACCTGCCTCTGCCTCCCAAGTGCTAGGATTAAAGTTGTGCGCCACCACTGCATGGCCATCTTCCTTTATTTTTAATAAGGCAGGTGTGCTTATGACAAGAAAATCAAACCTCAAAAACCCATGAACTGCATTTAACAGCAAAATTAACAATTGCCATGAGGCACCTACTGCATGCCATACACAATACAAACATTACCTTTAACCCTTCCTAAATGTTTAAGGAAGGTACTACAGTCCATACCACACAGGTAGCAAAGTTCATATGTTTTAGTGTTTTAGAAAACAAAACATAGCCGGGTGGCACACGCCTTTAATCCCAGCACTCGGGAGGCAGAGGCAGGAGGATCTTTGTGAGTTCGAGGCTATCCTGGTCTACAAGAGCTAGTTCCAGGACAGCCTCCAAAGCCACGGAGAAACCCTGTCTCAGAAGGAAAAAAAAAAAAAGAAAACAAAATAAACCATAAAGTGTGCACACAACCAATAATGTTGAGTCTTAAGAAAAAAACTTTCAGCTAGCCAGGCATGGTGGGCATAGCTGTGACTTAGTACTTGGAAGAAGTAGAAGCCATCTGGGTTACACCCCAAGACCTCTTGGCATAAAGGAAAACAACAAAAAATGAAACAAACCCCCTTTCATTTCCAGCCTGGAGCCGGCAGGTTGTGAGTAAGGCACTGTGCTTCTGTGCACTATCTTACTGATGATAAAGAAACATGAAGATTAAGTTACTGACATCTATATCTAAATAGTGGGAATTAGACTTAACAGAAGCCAGAAATCTCCTTAGAAAAGGTTGGCTTCTTCTACTTTGTGGCCTCTGAGTAATGTCACACAACTTGCTTATGGGGGAATGCATTGAGATGTGCTAATGTGCCCAGTAAAAGACACATTATTTGAACTGGTTTTGTATGGTTTTTTTTTGTTTTTTTGTTTGTTTGTTTTTGTTTTTTTTTTGAGACAGGGTTTCCTTGTGTAACAGCCCTGGCTCTCCTGGAACTCACACTGTAGATATCAGGCTAGCCTTGAACCCACAGATATCGGCCTGCCTCTGCATCCCATGTGCGGGATTAAAGGCACTTGACACCACCCCCACCCTACAACCTTGAACTTGTTATTTGCTTGTTTGTTTAAGACACTGTCTCAATGCATAGCTCTGGCTGGCCTGGAACTCTCTGCCTGTCTGTTCAATGTTTAAAAGCATACACCACTATGCCTGGCCTGAACCACATTTATTCTTCCTTGCAGAAATAATCAGCCCTCAATATTGTTCAGGGTACATTTCCCTCAGTGTTTTCTTATTGCTGTTACTTAAGAAAAAAGAAACGTGCCGGGCGTTGGTGGCACACACCTTTAATCCCAGCACTCGGGAGGCAGAGGCAGGTGGATCTCTGTGAGTTCGAGGCCAGCCTGGTCTACAGAGTGAGTTCCAGGACAGCCTCCAAAACAATACAGAGAAACCCTGTCTCGAAAAAAAACCAAAAAAAAAAAAAAAAAAAAAAAGAAAAGAAAAGAAAAGAAAAAAGAAACGTTAAATAGAGGGAGATTAATTTTCCTGCTTGTTTCCCCTAGTTAAAGGTACATTCAACTACTGTTACTTATTATTTATTGAGCTGAGATTTTACCATGGCATTTGAAGTGATCCTAAATTTCTGGGCTCACATGAGCGTCCTACCTCCACTTCTAGAAAAGCATGCACCACAGCACTTGGTTAGCATGCATGAGGCCTTGAGTTCAGTTCTCAACACTGGGGATTGGGGGGGGGGAGCTCACAGGGGTCTACAAAGTGCTCAATAAACACACTGATCATCAAAATCCTGGGAGGCAGGTAGCCCAAGCCTCACTTTCTCTGCCCCTTACCATGGCCACCCAGACTCCAAGAGTCTCATTTAATAGAGGAGAGGGAAACAGTTCCCTGGTCTAGATCACAACCCTAAAATCTTGCTAGAAACACTGGGTGCTTTTATTATCTCCCTCTCCCAACAGAACGAATGCTTGGCAAAAGCCAAGTCTTTGCCTTTTTTTTTTTAATTACACATACCAGTTCTGCCTGCTAGCTGGGTTCGTGCAACTCCTGAGCTTTATAAGCTGAGCAGCCTCCAAGATGGAAAGAAGCACAGAGTGCACCTGGCTGGGCACCCGGAGGCACACTTACAGAACTGTGAGGAAATCTACATCTGCAATCTGCAGAATGGCAGCAACAGCAGGACTTGTCCCTTTCACAGTATTAAGAGTGATGGAGTACAATACATAGTAAATATGGCCATAAAAGGAGAGAGCATTTCTCTCCTCCCTCATCCCCTGGCTCCCCTGCTGACATGTGGGGTCCAACTGGACAGTAACAGATGTGACGTATGGAGAATTCTGAAGTGTGTGGGTATCAGGGTCTGCTCCCTTCCAGTGTCCAGGAGTCCCAGGACAAGTCTGCAGGCTGATGAGATGTGTGTCTTTCCTATGCTGGCTCTAACCTGCTAACCAACCCTTCATCCAGCCACAAGTTGCTTGTTAGCTGAGCAGGCCATGGAGAAATGGACCAAGCTGTCCCAGACCAGAAGCCCCAGCTGTCCCAGACAACTGTGAACTAAGTTAACAGTTGTTATATTAAGCCATTAAGTTTGGTTTCCTAAAATTAGGATAAATATACATATGCATTATTTTACCACTTAGCCACCTTTTAGTAGTTCACTAGCATTAGGAAGCAGCACACGTGTCAACAATCCCATTCCTAAACTTTGGGATGGTTTGTCCTCGGTAAGAGCTAAGTGAGAAGCTGCCAAGATGCCTGAGAGGGTTGGGACACTTGCTGAACAAGACTGGTGACCTGAGTTCTATTCCTGGAACCCATGGAAAATGTAGACGGTGAAACAAAAAACTCCCCAAAGTTGTTCTATGACTGCCATGTGTGTTCATATGTGTACGTTCACCTACAATCCACTCTTTTTTTTGTTTTTACGAGACAGGGTTTCTCTGTATTGTTTTGGAGGCTGTCGGTCCAGCCTGGCCTCAAACTTACAGAGATCTGCCTGCCTCTGCCTCCCGAGTGCTGGGATTAAAGGCGTGCGCCACCCCTGCCCGGCTTACAATCCACTCTTAAAAATTTATTTTAAAAAAGTCTACGTGCTACATGTAGATAATAAATAGCTATAAGATGGCATCTTCTGTCCTGGAGCTAAAAAACAAACCAGGTTGGCCTAGAATGTACAGAAAGCCAACTGCCTCTGCCTCCCAAGTGCTGGGATTAAAGTCGTGTGCCACCATGCCCAGCAATAGTATTTTTTTCTATTTGTTTGTTTATTTACTTATCTTTGTAGAGGATAGTGTGTGCCACAGCAGGTGTGTAGAGACAAGAGAACAACTTGCTAGTCCTGGGAATTGAACTCAGGTTGTCAGGCTTCATGTCAGGTGCCTTTACCGGCTGTGCCATTTTGCCAGTCCGGCTACTCGATAGTTCCTAAGTTACCTTACTTTTTAAAGTCTCTTAACCACTTGGGATAGGCATTTATGTGCATCAAGACAGTGTGGCCACCTCTAGCTGGCTTTGAACAGCTGCTTAATGTACCTCTGTTCATTATCCTACGGAGAAAGAGCATATAAGGATAAAGAGCTTGTAGGGGCTGGAGAGATGTCTCAGTGGTTAAGAGCAAGTACTGTTCTTGCAGAGGACTCGAGTTCAGTTCCCAGAACTGGTGTCAGACAGCTCCCAAACATCCCTAAATCTAACTCTAGGGGGATCTGATGCCTCTTCTGGCCTCCACAGGTACTGTACGCACCTCCACAAACTCACACAGACACTGAAACACTCATACACAACCAAAACATAAAAGTGACTCTTTTTAAAAAGAGAGTGAACAAGCTCTGTACTCAGACTGAGAGTCAAAACCCAGCTGGTACTCCATAGCTACAGGACCTTAGGGAACTTACTCACCTCTCGAGTCCCATCTGTAAAACACAAAAACAGTAGATCCTCAAAGGGTGACTGGATGCTCATGTAACAACAGGTGGGAAGTATGGAAAATAGTGTTTGATACATACCAAGAGCTACATAAACAACAGCTGATTATTATGGCACTCTCTAAATAAAAGGCACACATTTCAGTTTCAAAAGTCTTTCAACAAGGCACAATGACAGGAAAAAGTCCCAGAGAGGCGTCACTACAGATCTGGGTGTGCACAGTTCTGTGTCCACAGTGTGAAGAGACTGCCTGAAAAAGCAGGAAAACACCGGCAAGGGGTGAGCAGGCAAAGGTCAGACACGGAAGTGCCTTGTCTGCAGGCACTGTCCAACTTTATGCCAACAAGTATGCTAGGTTTTGAGCTAGATCTGGACAGTCTACTGCTTTATTGTTTCTGAATATTTAATTTCTTAATAAAAATATACGAAGAGAAGTAAATACAACAAGGAATATATATTTAACCTCAGGTATAGTGGTTTGTTATATTACTTTCAGTGTTCTACATGAAATATCTTATAATGAAAATGCATTTTTAATTGGGCTTGAGAGGCTCATACGTGCAATTCCAGCACACAGGAGGCTCAGAGTTCAAAGCCAGCCTGGGTGATTCTAGATCAGCTTATATCCTGTCTCTAGAAACAAAACACCCATAGAATGTTATAAGTTAATGCCACCTTAAGTTATGGGAAATAGAAATAATGGCTTCAATAAGTTCTGAAGTAGACAGACCAAAAGTGCCCAAGTACTGTGTAACCATGGAAACTGAACTGTAAAGGAAAAGGAGGAACAGGGACACGGCCTGGGAAGAATAACATATGGTAACTAAAGAAATGACACAGCTTTGTAGCAATACTTTTTTGTTCTGCTGCTGTTCAAAACAGAGTCTCACTATGTATCTATGGCTAGCCTGGAGCTCAATATGTAGACCAGGCTGACCATGAACTCCTAAAGATCTATCTTCATCTCCTTCCCTTATGGTGGGATTAAAGGCGAATGTGCCACCATGCCTGGCTGTGAATCCATATTCTTAGACAATATGAGAGTTTTCTTAATACTGTATTCCAACAGTATTTTGGCTCTAAAAACAGACAGTTCAAGACTTTCTAAAACCTGAACTTCCTGGAACGAGAGAAGGCAGTGAATAAGTACACCTCCCCAGATGGTGAATTACCCTCCCCAGAGGGAAATCAAACAACCTGGACTGTAAGCAGACATTCTTTACCTTAGGTTCCAGATCCCTGCAAAAAGCTAACAAACAGTGACAAATTCACCCCCTAAAAGCTCAAATGTACAACAACTCACCAGGCTGGAAACATTTGGATTTCTGAGGATTTGTAAATGTGTAATCTTGGTAATAGGACCCAAGCCCAAGCATGCAATTCTTTTATGTTTCATATATGCTTTACACACACACACACACACACACACACACACACACACAACCAAACGGCAATTTTCTACAGTACCTTTAACGTATTTGCATTTTGAAGAAAACTTGTCACTTGCATGCATGAAGTCAGGTGTACAAATATCTACTTATGGCATCATGTCAGCACTCAAAGAAATTAATACTGAGCCAAATGAACATGTATTCATAAAAGTCATAGAGACATTTGGAAGCTCTTATTTCCTTTAGGCAACCCTGAAAAGATTAAACTCACATCCTGAAAACAAATGATTTTCCCCTCTACTCCTGAAAACTGCCTTATGACATTCACTATTCTGTTACACTCAGGTAAGGTCACCTGGTTTAAAAGGCTAGAAGCTTCTCCAAGGCAGCTTTGTTCACTAATTCATCTTCACATATATTGACAAACTACTCTGTACAAGGCAGCAAAGACACGCACATGAAGAAAAGATTCTTATTTTCTACTAGTTTAAAATTCCAGAATCGCCAGAGGTGATGGCACAACCTTTACTCCCAGCATTGAGGAGGATCAGAGGCAAGTGGAACTCAGTGAGTTCAAGGCCAGCCTGGTCTACACAGTAAGTTCCAAGGCAGCCAGGGCTACACAGTGAGACCTTGTAGAATCAAACAGACGATCTTAAATCAGAAGGAAACTGAAATATACGATCTTACATCTGAGAGTGAGTTTGGGAGCTGAACACAAGACTACAGGAACACTGGTAAACAAACAGTACTAGAGAAAACAGGTAAGTGAACCTCACAGATCAGAACGCCCTCCTCGGGTTTCTACAAAACAATTCTGTGACACTTTATAGGGTCCTGACAGGATGGAATCGCCAGTGGCTGGAGAAGGCAGTGAACTAGCTGTCACTGGAGGTGACTTGGAGTATAAAGCAGAGATTCTTTGCTTTGGGTCACTCATCCTTGCAGGAATGTGGCAGCTGAGTACCCTTCTCACCTGATATGCACTCTTTGCTTTTATTTCTTTGGCAGTCCTGTCTATGCCACTTGCCACCCATACTTTACCCAGCACCTGCCCATCACAGTGCAGGTGTCCCATTAAGTGTCTGCTGAATGGCAGAGGGATGGCACTTGTCAGAGCTAAATCTTAAAAAATGAGGGTTCAGTGTTACGAGAAAATTAAAGTGCTTTAATAAAGAACACCAATCAAGAATATCTTTAAGCTGGGTGATGGTGGTGCATGCCTTTAATCCCAGCAAGCGGAACTCTGTGAGTTCCAGGCCAGCCCGGACTACAAAGTGAGTTTCAGGGCAGCCAGGACTGTTACATAGAAAAACTCTGTCTCAAAAAACAAAACAACAATTACCTTTAAATAAGATACGGTGGAATATTTTGAGGCTTTTGATGTAACCCATTAATTCAACGGGACGTGCACTCATGCAACAGTTACATATCTCTGTTAGACTAATCATCATAAAAGCACACATTTAACAAAGGGTACAGTTCGATTAAATACAAACAAAAATCAAATTCTAGCCTTCCAGCAGCCCATAGCTAGTAAGAATTTGGATATTATGTGCGCACAACAGAAAAACGTAGGAAGCACCCAGGAAGAAAATAGTGGCTGCAGGAAGTGGGTGGGAGTTAAGTTTTCATTCCAGAAGAGATAGGCATATAATAATTCCTACAGGGTTCCTTATGTTCACAAAAATTTTCTCAACCCTGTATCTCTGTCTAATCTCAATTCTAGAACGCAGCCGTAGGAGTAAAAATAAACCCCCAAGTTTAGGAAAACAAAGTGCGTAGCCAAAGTGCTCAGGAAAAGTAATGGCTTGAACAAGTAGAAACCTTTAAAAACAGGTGGGGGACAGGGCTGGGCCTGTCAAGAGAACTGGGTCCAGCCGGGCGGGGTGCGCGACCCAGGGCGGGAGCCTGTCTTCCTAGGAGAACAGGGCGTCCGAGGCCGTCCTCCGGTATCTCCTGTGCGTGCACCGCCACAGACCCGCGAGGATGCAGGGATGCTCGGCCTACCTGGTCCATCTTGGTTATGAAATTCCGCCGGCCTCCCATGCGGAATCGCAGCAGGTTGTAGAACTCCTCCGGGTGGCCTAGGCACTTCACGAACTCCATCCTGACGGCTGCCGGACGCAGGGCTCACCTGTCTGGATCCCTAGCTCCCACGAGTGTCTAGATATTGGGGACCAGCCAGGACGAGGAGGCGGGGCCAGCGCCGGACGCCCCGCCCACCTCCCGCCCTCCTCAACCGGCCGCGCCGCTCGTGCCGCCAACCTAGGGCAAGCGCAGTGGACTGACGGGCGTTGATTGGTCACAGTCTCTCGCACCAGGAAGACGCCGGCCAATGGGAGGCCGAAGGAGCCTGGCGTGATGACCACACCCTAGAACCTGATTGGAGGGCTAGAAAGAGGCCGCGAACGCTATTGGTTCCTAGAAGAGAGTCTTTGTTTGCAGAGGTGGGAGGCGAGCGCCCCGCGTGGGTGGGCGTTCCGTAGTGCGGAAACTAGTCCTGATCCAAGTGTTGCCAGGTACACTGGGAGGAGAGGTTCGCTTGCTCCAGCGGGCCACCGCCCCTAGTTAACATTATCTTTATCTCGAATTGCTTAAGGATGGGTTAGCAGAGCGGTGTCTGACTGGGAGGGGAGCGGGGACTGGAAACGCGACTGGCGGCTTGTAGGTAAGGCGTGGCCAAACACCATTACCGGAGCTACCTGTCACTCGGGCTCTACACTGTGTTCTAAGGAATGTAGGTTTCCAAAAAGAAAGTAGGTTTCGTGAAGAAACTTAAGTTTGAAAACTGTAAAGCAGAGTCTTCCTTTCCTCGGAGGAGAGTTGCTTTCCTGAGCTCCATGTAGGACAGCGCGCAGTATTTCTCAGACATCTCCCATCCCTCATTTGTAAAGGCATCCTAGTGATGATTCTTGGATCGTTATTTTCAGAGCTGCTAAAACAGAAGGAACTCGGCTCTTGATGGACATACCTCTCATTTTCTGGTTAATGTGAACCAGGATTTTATGCGGCGCCTGCAAAATCTGCCCAAGTTTGGACCCCATCTGGAGTGGTAGGGACAGCCAACAATTCCAGTTAAGGGTTGCAAGGGTCGGGGAAGGGCTCCCTCCCTGGAGATCTATGGGCGGTTAGTGGCTGCTAGTGCAGTAACTTTTAAAAAAAAAGTTATTAGCATAAGTGTCATGAGTTTTACTATGAACTCTTCATACATGTATGTATTTTGATTATATTCCCCTTTAACCTACATATAGCTCGCACACTTGTTAATCCTTTTACTCTTTCAAATGGCTTGTTTATACTTACACCTTTTTTTTATTATTCACTGCCATGTATAGAGGTCAGTTCTCTTTCCTCCGTGTGAGTACGGAGAATGGAACTCAGGTCATCAGGTTTGATAGTGCCTGTGTGTGACCTAATGAGGGACAGATTTCCTTCAGTGGTGTGACCACTAGTAAGTTGCCCATGCTTCTGCCAGGACCTCTAATTAAACCTGTTGAGCGATCAAGAAGAAAAAAATGAGCTTCAAAGAGGAAGATCATGGAGGGTGACAAGAGAAAATAGTAGGGGGTGAGTGTGATCAAAATATATGTGTGTATAAAAATGTTATAATGAAATCAATTATTATGTATGGTGAATGTTAATAAAAACACTTATTCTATACGGAGAAACGCTGCCTCGAAAAACCAAAAAAAAAAAAAAAACACTTATTCTAAAGTATGTTCCTGTTTGGTTCTGAATGATTGTGTCCTTCCAAAACTCCTGTGTTGAAGATCTAGTCTAAAATAGGGAACTTTAGAGTTGGAAGTTTGGGCGGGATGGCATATAAACAAGATCATAAGGGTAGATTTTAAGATGATTCCCGGGCTGGAGAGATGGCTTAGCAGTTAAGAGCACTGGCTGTTCTTCCAGAGGTCCCGAGTTCAATTCCTAGCAACTACATGGTGACTCACAAACATCTGTAATGAGATCTGGTGTCCTCTTCTGGCCTGCAGGCATGCATGCAGGCAGAATACTGCATACATAATAAATAAATAAATCTTTAAAAAAAGATGATTCCCATGGTACTGGCGTCCTTACTTCAAAGAAAAAAACCAAGAGCCCCACCACACACACACACACACACACACACACACACACACACACACACACACTAAGGTCACAGTGTTCTAGAACATGTCATCTGTAATCCAGAAGGGGGACGCTCATCAGATAACTGAATCTGCCTCCAGCTTAGACTTTCATATTGCAGATCTGTGAGAAGCGAGGAATTACCCACTCACTGTCTTTGGTTTTATTGAAGTTTCCATCCAAAACATCAGTGTATTAGAAACAGCTAGGAAGTCAGGCAGACTTGGCCCACACTTCAGGTCATCCAAGAACTGGAAGAGACTTGGTGCATGCTAAGTCCTCTGGGAGCCACTGCTGATAATGACAACCAAGCCCTGCAGAAAGTTCTCACCAGTGGGCAGGTGCTTGATGAGCCAGTCAGGAGCATGCACATTGTTGGGCTATAGTGATACGCTGCAGAGTAAGGTGTGGTGTGAGCTTCGGAGAAGCACTCGGTGGCCCAAAACCAGGCATAACATCCTGCACCAGTGCTGTCAGGGAACTGTCACTAATCTACATGTCATCAGTGCTCCAAGTCCCAAAAGTTTGATGTCGGAGGCCTATTATCACCCTGGTGACTGTCTCCCACTCAGTCACCCTGGGGGCGCAGCTAGGGCATCTCTGGCATGAATAGAGTCTTGCTAAGGTGTACTTAAGTATGACAGTGGCTTTGAGTCTTGTTTACTGTTGGTTTTCTCTTTGAGGCAGGGTCTCTGCAAAACCAGGCTGGCCTAAACACTGGGTCCTATTGCTTCAGTGCTCTGATCAGCAGGGCACAATGGGATTCAAGCCCATGGGAACCTGGAATGAATGAGACAAGAAACACAGAGAGATGGACAGTAAGACAGACCTGATCAAGCTGTCATTCAATGAGAATTCTGTACAGGCTTAAATAGGGGAATGTGGCATTGGCCTGGGGCAGAGGTTGTTAGACCAGAGATGCTGAGAAGTGAGGCAGCAGGGAGCTGAGCATTTGATATGTGATGGGCAGGAGATCTCACCAGAGTGCAGGTGTTAACCAAGTATTGTTAAGTGATGGGTTATCCCTATGATGCCAGGCCATCTGTGGGAAGGTGCCTGAGTTTTGGGAAGAATCTTGGAGCAAGATTCAGTGACCTGGTCCCCAACACTTCAGCCTCCTGAGTAGCTGGGATTACAGATGTGTGCACCACACTCAGTTTAACTGTATGGTCCTAAGGTCCATAACCACTGAAGACTTGCATTTACTCACGCATAAAGGACAGTAAGTGCCCAGGACTGAGGAAATTGCTCACTGATTAAGAGTATGCACTATTCTTCTAGAGCAAACATTTATAAACAATATTTGAGAATGTGGGTACAGTTCTCTCCAAACTGCTTCCTGCTGTTTGGGGGCACTAGCAATCCCATGGAGATCCTAAGAAAACTCGAATCACGGTCAACTCCTGGCTATAGTTGTCTGCAATGCTGCATTGTCCCAGCTGTCTTGGATGTTGCATCACCTGGGCCACTGATTCAAGGGGTCTTGTTTGATCAAACCATATTAGTCTGGAAGGAATCCACAGCTTTTCATCTTCTGTGGAAACAAAAGCAGAACCTCTTTTCCAAAGTAACCTGTCCTTAAATTTTGAAGTCAAAGCATTTTCAAAATATATAGGTTGGATTAATCAGCATTTATAATTAAATGTCTTTTAGCAGCTGTTGGTCTTTCTTCAGTAAACAATTCAAAGACAACACAATAACATACAGCATCCAGACTCTTTGTGTATTTTCCATCTTAATGTGGCTTTTTTGTTTTTATTACTCTATTTTATTGGTTTTTATCTTTTTGTTTTTGAGACAGGGTTTCTCTGTGTAGCTTTTGTAGACCAAGCTGGCTTTGAACTCAAGAGATCTGACTGCCTCTGACTTTCGAGTGCTAGGATTAAAGGCATGCAACACAACAATCTGGCTTTTTTTGGTTTTGTTTTGTTTTGGTTTTCCAGACAGGGTTTCTCTGTGTAATGTTTGCTGTCCTTGAACTCACTTTGTAACCAGGCTGCCCTTGAAATCACAGAGCTCTGCCTGCCTCTGCCTCCCAAGTGCTGGGATTAAAGGCATGTACCACCATGCCCAGCTACTCCTTTTTTAAAGGACTTTTTCTGTCCTTTTTTTTCTCTCCCAAGCCTACATATATTTTTAGACACACTATAAACCATCTAAAGGTTTTGGATTTTTTTATTTTTAAAAAGGAAATTGCTGAGATCAGAGAGAAGGAGCAAGCCTTACCTCCTTAGCATCTCAGCAGACAAGAGAACAAGTACCTGTTTCTCCCTGCTTACATTGTTTCCGCCCAGATACCTCTGTTTTTCTGTCTGTCTGTACAGACCTCCTCACAGCTATAGTTACCTAGTGGCAAGCTTCATTCTCTGACCTTCAGACAGGCTTAATTGTGCAAGCAAGAAATCACCACACCACAATACATCTAGTTCTTCAAGGAGAAGGGCAGGTATGTACTTCCCTCCCATTCTGCTCCTAAGTGGATTCATCAGGCCCACCCTGCAAGCCTGGGAGGTCCCTTCACGAAGAGTGAGCTGGATGTAGCTGAGTGGTACCATCATTGCTTAGAAAAGTTAAGCCCCAGGTTTCATCTCAGCACCACAAAACAAAGACACAAAAAAAAAAAACCCCAAGAACCATTTCTGCCTCATTAAGACAACATAGAAAACATCACATTTTATTTTCAATTTCTACCCCAGTTCCATGAAGTTATTACTACAACCTGAACTTTTCAACATCACAGTCACGAATGCCCATCTTAGACCAGCAGCTTTTCTCACAGTCCCTGGGCACTCCTCCTTGTCCACTCTGGAGTCTCCAGTCACCGAGAATGTGCCAGGCAGGCTGACTAGCAGTACGTCTGCCCCGCCCCCACCCCCCCCCCCCCCGGCAAGGAAGAAAATGGAGGAACTCAAAATCAAGCAGTTCCCCAAACAGCACAGCACACCATTAGCAAAGAAGCCTAGGAGTATAGTACCCCTTGGCTGTCCCTGACAGCTGACCCCACCCCCAGCCACTCTTTTTCAGACTCACTGCTGCTCCAGGGAGTTTCCCCAATGTGCTGTCAGATTTTGACAGCAAAGAGGGATTACACAAAATTAACCAGAAAAGGAAAACATCTATCCCCATGAAAGCTGTGGCTGAGGTATAATCCAATGAGATGAATATCAACAATACTGACCCTCTGGACCCTATCCCTGAGCCGTCATAGTTCTTGCCTACACCCTTGTCTCAGGACACATGGGATCTGATCTTCAAGGCTCCAAGTTGCATGAAGAGGGCCAGATGATTTATGAGGACAGCATATTCTATGGCCCCTCAGATGACAGCTGGGGCTGGCACTGAGGGCACCACCAGGTGAGTCTCTGGAGTCCACAAGGAGGCCCAAATGTCTCCTTCATAACCTGGTGACCAGAAGGACACTGCTCCTTCTGGTAGATCAGTGTGTGCCGCCCCTTGCCTTGGAATTTATCCCGAAGCCAATCTGAACTGAACTCCACCACGTGATCCACGAGGGCCTCCAGAGAGGAAGAACTCAGGAGCGAACCGAGAGAGAGGGGATGGATCCCTGCTCTGTACAAGGCTTCGTTCTTTATAATGTTCCCTGAAAACAAAGAGAGACACGGGTAGGAAACACTGCCACATAACCTCAAATTCATTATGATCCTCCTGCCTCCATCTTCTAAGTGTTGAGCTGTAGATATGTGCCACCGCACTAGCTTGCAATTATCAAGCCATGATGAGTGAAGTCCAGCTTCTGGACCACTGAGCAATGTAAGGAGAGGAGAGTAAGCAGATGACACAAGGCAGCAATAGATGAAGCAGTCCCCGCCCCCGGTTTCATAATTGCACTTCTAGTTACAGGTTCTCTGCATATTTGAGTGGCAGGCTACCTGGACTCATCTCGTCTGCACCGCTCACCAGCAAGGCACCCTTTGCTTTAGTTTCCTCATCTGAATAAAAGGGAAAGGTAAGAAGTGATTATCCCATGGAGCAGCATGAGGACAAGACTGAGTGCCTGGACCACTGGAGGCTTGTGAGTCTCGCTGGCTGTCACCAGTATCATTGTGCAGTTAGCTCTCTGTATACATCCAAAAGCTGCTTCTGGAAGCCTAGTTGCTCCTCTGGCACAGAAGCAGACTCCACTGGTTCTCCCATGAAAGTACAAGTTCCCCACGTTCCTGTAGTAAGCCACACCTGTGGCAGGCAAGGTCACACTTTGGATAAGGATACAGCTCTGCTAACACCAGATGTAACAGCCAGCTGTGGTGGGACTCACTGATCTCCTGAGGGTAGTAAGAGAGCTGCCACCCCTGCTACTAGGAACTACACACACTCCTTGTCTCAACTGGAAATGTTCAGTTTCACCACTCAGCTCTCCAGAGCCAAGACCTGCTTCTTTCTCCTGGCTTCTAAGAGTCTGGAGCTGACCTGATGTCTGCCTCTGCTTTGACAGCAGGAAGCTCCATTGCCCAAGGGAACTACCAGTTGTAGGAACAACTCAGGACAACCATTCACAGCATGTCATGATCCAGAACCTTCTATATGGTCTGTGCAAGACACTGTCCCTCTGTTAGGTGGCAACACTAATACACCATTAGGAGGCTCACAAGTGAGAGTCCTATGTCAGAACATAGTCCAAGAATGAAGTCCGGTGAGAAGAATTCTGAGTACTTGTGAGAAAACTCCAAGAAAACAAGACAATAGTCTTGTGGCCTCAGGTTCTACAAAACAGAATTGGTCTTGGAATGCATTTTGATGCTCCCCTGAGGTGGAGCAGGATAGGAATGTGTTTATCCTTGTTCATTACAACTGGTTATTGCTATTTATGCCTCTGTGGGAAGACATGTTTTTGCCATCTATGGCTTGACCTTGTGGTTGTATACAGCTTGAACTCATGGGAACTCTCCTCAGGTGACCCCTCTTAGCCCTCAGTCAAACTGTCTGATGCTCTGAATAAAGTTGGCTATTGCACGAGACTTCAGTCTGCCTCATTTATCGGCTCCATCTTCCCAGGTCCCGCTGCCTCTAGAGTGGTAAACGCTATCATGATGTGAATGTGTGCAGACAGAGAAGCGAGGACCTGCCTAATCCAACCTCTGAGCCTAAAATCAAGGGATGTTGAGCCAACCTCAAAACCAGGAGTGCTGGTACAACTGGATAGGAGTCCTCAAGTCTTGGCTGCACTATAGATGTGTGACTTTCCCATTAACCAACTCTGTAGGGTTCCTCCCCATCACCTGGATCATACCTAATCCTGAAAAGTACTTCTGGTCCAATAGTGTATAGCACACAGGCTGAGCCTGGCTTAGAGCTTCCAAGGCTTTTCCTCGATGGAACTTCTCGGACAAGATGTCACAGGTGGGCTCAATCACTGGGGGAGGACTCCACGACATCTGGCAGCTATAAAATGCCAGGAAGCCACCACCATCAAAATGGAGTACCAGCCTAAGAAGACAGAAGAGATCATACCTACAGCATTCTCACATACAACGAGATCATACATTACAACCACCAATGTACAGTCAATTCATAATAGATAAACAGACCCCTACAGAAGTCAGCTCACATGTATATATAGTTACCACAATATAATCATCTCACACATGCAACTATCAATGTACATCACCATACAGTTACCACTGTATAATTATGTCACATGTGCATACAGTGACCACTATGTAGGTCACATTTATACAGTTACAGACCATTGTAAGGAACACGTAAACAGACTGTGAAAATGAAGTTGTAAACAGTCTGGAGGGAGTGATGAGCTTCGAAGGCAACAGAAGTGATAAGTTGGTGTGTATGTAGCTGATAGATAAGCAGAGAGAAAAGCTCAGAGGAAACGTATAAAAACCACAAAGGAGGACACCAGAGCAGAGCATCGCGATGCGCCGAGCGTGAGACGCTGTCCGAGCCATGAAACAGAGTTGCCTCCACCAACCAACCGAGTGACACCGAGCCAGATCAAGAAGGAACACTGAGCCGGAGCCCTGGTGTCCAGGTGGCCACTACACATTGCTGTGCAAGCAGATCAAGAGGAACAAGACGCGAAACCTGAACCTGAACGTGGAGGTACCCACATCACACTCATCTGGTCGTGGTGTACTGTGCCATGGCCCCTAGGATCCTTTTGCCTATTTGTTAGATGATTATTTTGTTTATGCTGATTGGTTAGAAATATAGTTGATGCTCATAAGACATGTGATATGTGAATAAGTATAATATCAAAGTGAAACTCTGTTGTGTATTCCCTCCCCTCAGTAACCTGAGGGTGTGCTCGTGTCAATCACACACACACACACAGTTTCTATTCTACACTAGTCAGGTAGACTAGTACGTACGCTAGTCTGAATCAAACTGGGAAGTTAAGGTCTCATGGTCGGAATCATAAACTCCTCAGAACCAAATAAAGTAAAACACACGTATACACTGTACACTACAGCAATGCATGTTGACAGACGGAAGCATGAAAAGCTGTAAGTCTGAATCTAGGTGAGTGGCAGACTGACCAGAGGTGGGCAGGCTCATCAGGGAGGAGATGCAGAAACAGTGACAAGGATGGCACCACTTCTGGTCTCAGGCAAGATCAACCTCTGTGTGTACATGTCTTCTACATGTGTGTGCCCCGTCTCAGGAAAGATCAACCTGTGTGTGTGCCATGGGTCTACACGTGTGCCCGTCTCAGGCAAGATCAACCTGTGTGTGTGCGTGTATCTACATGTGTACCCATCTCAGGCAAGATCAACCTGTGTGTGTGCATGTGTCTACACGTGTGCCCCCGTCTCAGGCAAGATCAACCTGTGTGTGTGCATGTGTCTACACGTGTACCCGTCTCAGGCAAGATCAACCTCTGTGTGTACATGTCTTCTACATGTGTGTGCCCCGTCTCAGGCAAGATCAACCTGTGTGTGTGCCATGGGTCTACACGTGTGTGCCCCCGTCTCAGGCAAGATCAACCTGTGTGTGTGCCATGGGTCTACACGTGTGCCCCTGTCTCAGGCAAGATCAACCTGTGTGTGTGCATGTGTCTACACATGTGTACCTGAGCCCTTTGGATGTGAAGGACAAAAAGACATCTTACACTTTGGTGAGAAAATAATGGGATATTTTGCAGGGGTAGCTAATCCAACCGGAACTGCCTCCACACAGGAAGTAGGAGAATCAGAATCCAGAGATTCTGAGTCCATGTCTAGCTAGTGTCCTTGAGAAGGGCAGAGGCAATTTCAGAAAGCAGGGATCCGGGCATCATGGTACATGCCTGTAATCCCAGCACTAGGTTAGGCTGAGACAGGAGGATTACGAATTTGAGACTAGCCTAGGGTAAAGGTACTTGCCATCAACCCTGATGACCTGAGTTTGCTCCAGGATCACACGCTCGAGACCCCACATAATGGTCATGTGGGAGCGAGAGGTCAGGACAGGAAAACTGCACCTACACTTTCTGCTTCCTGGATAGCAAGGTTTGGTTTTTCACATGTGTCACCGTTCAGCCATGCCTTGCCACAGAAGGCACGGACACTGCAGACCCTACTGGAACCCTGTCCATGTCACACCATTACCTGGGCACAGGGTCTCTCCAGTCACCTCTCTTGTTAGCTTGCTTTGCTCTGGAGAAGTCATTCACCCAGACACTGCCAAACAAACCAAACCTGACCTCTAGCCATCTCTGGGCAACTACTAAAAGGTTGTGTCCCCCAAGGCCAGAGGGGCCATCAGATCCACTAGGAACAGGCTCCCCAGATCCGGAGGGGCCTGTAAAAGTTTCCTGAGCACTGGGCCGCAAGGCCAGCTCTGGATTCATGGCCTCTCTCTGCTGCACTCCTTGTACAGGCGGTGGGCTGCTGCCGTGTAGTTCCTCCTCATCAGGATCAAACCGAAGGAATAATTTTTTCCCATGCACCTAGCAAGACAAAGCAACAAAAATGAGCATGTACTGATCCTCAGAGCCCTGCATGGGAGCCAAAGCTTCACAAAGAGCTAGCTGCCAACACTCAGGCTCCTTCTCACCCAAAGCTTGCCCGGGCACAGAGGAGTTCTCTGTTCTCTGCTCGTTTGCACCAGTGGTGCTGACAGCAGGTGCATGACTTTCCAAAAGCCTGAGAGCAACTGGAGGAGTTGGGTTAGCGATGGGACGGGTCTGTGCCAGACAGCAAGGCCACCCAGAACACCCAAGGGGAGATGTTCCCAAAGATTTCAGGACCTCAGTAAAAGATTATCCAAACGGCCATTCATTTAGTTACTCCATGACTCCATGGCCCATTTTCCTAGGCTAGAGTCATTCAGCTTGTACACCCTCAGCCTGATCACAGCTAAAGAAATGATGTCATAAAATTCGGACCCGGAAAAAGTTATCGACCACAGGAGAACTCGCACCCAAAACAAAAAGCCATAATCTGATGAGGGAGATGGCTCACTACTGCAATCTCAACGCTAAGGAGGCTGAGCCAGGAGGATCGAGAGCTCAAGATCTGGGCCACTGAGATGGTTCAGTGGGTAAACCCAACCCCTTACCTCCAGCAGGTAAGACATGGCATCTGTCTGTGAAACGGGGAGCAGGTACAGGATGGAGACACGTATGGTACAGCTGAGACACAGGGGCCCGCCCTGCTGAATCCCACCCACTTTGAACCTGGACAAGCCTGAGAGGGGGAAGCCTCAGGAACTGGGTAGAGGGAGCAGAGCTTGAGGTTGCTGGCTGAGTACAGTGAGTTGAGCCTGTAATCCCAGCACTGGGAGGTAGAGACGGGAGAATCCCTGGAGCTCACTGATCAGTTAATCTGGTCAAGTGGTGAGTGCCACACTCAGGAAGACACACTGTTTAAGAAGATAAAGTGAGAACCCTTGAGAGAGGAACCCAACATTAACTGATAACCTCCGTCTGCATAGGCACACTCATACATGCATCCTTGTACACATTATATCATACACACACACACACACACACACACACACACACGCACGCACGCACGCACGCACGCACGCATGCAGAGTCTTCTCCTCTTAAGCATATCTACATCCTCTAATCTTCAAAGACCACCCCAAGTCCCAACTCCTCCAAGTCAGAAGGACCCCTTCATGTCAAGGCATTACTAGGCCTTAATTATAGCCATGATTCTCTCCATTTAGCCTTGCTGGGCAATTTTCTTATAAAAATATGGGTCCTTCCTTCCCTATCTAAATCTACATCCTTCAGGTGAAAAGACCCCTGGGAGCACCAGCAGGCAGCCCCAGGCCCTGGCTTCTCTAGGGTTCCTACAGCATGGCTGTCTCCTCTGTTTCCTAGGAAACAGAATCCATTGCATCTCCAGGTCAATGCCATGTATTTATCTGTTCCCAGATCTACTCAGTCATGTATAGTGCCAGCTCTGTGACAGCTATCACTGTAAGTGCTGGGGGACCAAAGCCACGAGACTATACAGAAGAGTCTCTACAAAAAGGCCACCAGCCTGAAGTCCGGAAGACATAGACTCCTAAACTTGGAATTCAGAGCCTCAGCTTCCAATGATGAACTATAGGTGAAGGGTTGTGACACATCTTCCACTCAAAGAACTCAGAGAGATCCGCCTGCCTCTGCCTCCCGAGTGCTGGGATTAAAGGCGTGTGCCACCAATGCCCAGCATAAACTCTATTCTTATAAGAGTTTTAACAAGGGTGTCTTAGTCCGTGTTCTATTGCTGTGAAGAGACACATTGATCAAGGCAAGTGCAGATGCTCACAGCTAAGCAAGAAAACACAAGTCTGATGAGAATACAGCCTTGCCCTGTCTCTGTCTCTCTAAGGATGCAACAGGAGGAAGTAGAGGGTATCACAGAGGTACAGAGAGGTCATCTCTCAGCTTGTGCTAAACAGACAGGATATCATGGTCATGTGGAATCCTAAAAGAGACTAAAATTACCACGGTAAGCTGAAGAGGCCGGAGTGGAAACAGTAGAGGGAAAAAAGGAGAATGTGCCCAAGCATAGGGAAACATGTCCCCACCATGGGGAAGGAACTGAGCTGCAGGCAGCTACTATAAGCAGAGTGGCTTGGGGCTGGGTGCAAAGGCCAGAGAGGCAGGGAGGGAGAGGTCAGTCCACAGGGAGTACCTGAGCCCCCGATGGAATTCTGACTCCCAGTCAGGATGAGGTCTGAATCCAAATCTTCAACTGTGCTCATTCCTTACTTGGCATCTAGCCTAGGGGGCCAGCAGAACCACACCAAAGACAAGGAGAGTTGGGGCTGGAGAGATGGCTCAGAGGTTAAGAGCACTGGCTGCTCTTCTGGAGGTCCTGGGTTCAATTCCCAGCACCCACATGGTGGCTCACAACCATCTATAATGAGATCTGGTGCCCTCTTCTGGCCTACAGGGATACATGTAGGAGGAATGATGTATACATAATAAATCTTTAAAAAAAAAAAGACAGGGAGAGTTCTCGAGATTATGCATGGGGTCTTCAGGCTCTTTTTGTATGTTCTTCACAGCCCCCACGCCATTGCGACAGGAGACATCACACTGAAAGAGTAGGGACACATGCCATCCTAGCATGGCTGTCCAACGCTTAAACATAAAACGTCATTAAGACATCTTGGCTAGATGTCACGGGGGAGGTAGAGTGAGCCATCACACTTGAGACCTGGGGAAAGCAAAACTCACCTGGGCATCCTGGAGCCATAGCGATTGGAAGGAGTCAGGGTGCAGCTTCTTACTGCTGCCCCCTGTCTTGACCACCTTCTGGCCCACAAAAGGGGAGACAAGATGGTGAAACTTCCTCACGGATGGCCCTTCTGGCATCTCTGCAGGTAGAAAGTGGCAAAGGAGACCACAATGATTTTAGCTTGGTCCTGTACCCCAAGGAGCCAGTTTGGGCCAACCACTTTAAGAGTATACATGCCAAATCTGAGCCTGACTGAGGTGGGGGATGAGATCTCAGAGAAGACTGAGCTGGGGCAGGGTTTAGGGCCAGTTTCGCCGCAATGGTTTCTCTTCCTGGTCCCTTACCCAATATCCATGCAGCAAATATAATCAACATAGCATGCTTGGTGTCATGCAGCAGGCAATGTCTAATTCAATGGCACTGCCACCCCAATGGTCAGCCACTCATTTGTTTCATTCTTGAGACAGACTCGTGTTATGTAGCTGTAGGTGAGCTACTATGTACTATGTAGTTCCAGCTGTCCTCAAGACTCACAGGTCTCCTTATGCCTCATGCTACCAAGTGCTAGGATTACAGGCATGAACAACTCCTTGTTCCTTTTCACTGGGTATATTAGACCTCTAACTCATCTCCATGCTTCCTCTGTCTTTCCCTATCCTACCCCCAAAGCAATCACTCCAACCCTCTACTCACTTATCCATGCTTGGATCCGGCTCTCTCAGAGCCACCTCAGGGGAGGGAGATCCTCACTAGTTACAAGATCTCTTAAAGTGATTTTCTATCTGTGACCACAGTGCTGACAGATTCCCAAACTGTGACAAGCAGACAACGGCCAGCAAGGGGGCTACCAACCAGCTTAACTCCTGATAATATATATGCCTGATGGCTGAAAAGCCACAGCAAAAGCAAGACTGGATGGCCTGTCACCCCTTGCCTTCCTGTTCTCAATTGCCCAAAGTCACTGAGAGTCACCAGGGTGATGGTCTACATCCTGACTTCCCTGAGTCACACACACACACACACACACACACACACACACACACACACACACACACACACACACACAGGTTCCTTCTAACCTAATCAGCCACTCACCAGCACCAGGCTCCATAAATCATGGTGGAAATTAACAAAGGGACATGGCAGGTAGTTATTATTTCAGTGTTTCTAAAAGTGGTTGGTTGTTGGTTTTTTGTTATTGTCTTGTTTTTGGTGGTGGTGGTGTTTTTCAAGTCTCACTCTGCACCCCAGGCTGAACTTGAACTATGAGCAATCCTCCTGCCTGAGTCTTCCAAGTGTGAGTACTGGGATTAAGAGTCTCCCTAAGACACTTAAAACACACATTTTAACCAGAGAATCCAGATAATCAGGATACCTTAGTCATCCCAAGAATTCTCATAATTCATAAGCAACATATTCAATAATGCTGTTTTTCTTTTCTGTCTTGAGACAGGTTTGCCCATATTCCAGGTGCCAAGCTGGCCTATGGATGGCCTGTGTATGGATGGCCTCTTCTCCCACGGTACTGTTATTACAGAACCGTATCACCACTCACTCCTGCTTTACGCTCAAACACAAGGCATCTTGCAAGCTAGGCAACCCCTCTACCAACTGTGCTAAGTCCCAGGCTTTAATGCAATACTTAAATTTGTCCATACCTGAATTCCCACCCACACTCTTGGAAATGTGGTAACCGTTCATCTACTTAGACCTTCAGGGGAAACTACTGGGCTAGAAAGCAGCTTGCCAGGCACCGGCACCCTAACCACCTCTCAGTTCAGAGTCTTCCAGGCCTCCGTCAGAGAAAGTTCTGGAAAAGCCGCCCGTGCAATGAACCGTAATGTTAAATTTCTACGGTCAGGGTTAGCCGTATGTGGTGGTGCAAGTCTTTAATCCCAGCTCCCTCAGAGGCAGCGGCAGGAGGATTTCAGGGAACTGGAGGCCACCCTGGTCTGCACAGGAAACCCTGGCTACACCGAGACCCTGTATCAAAAACAAACAACTCTCCGCCCATGGGCATGCTTAGATGGGCAGGAAAGGGATGAGATGAGAAAATGAGAACCTCGTGCTTCCTTGGTAGGGCGAGGTGGCCAGGCATGCAGGGCGTCCCTGTTCTCAGGCGGCCAAGCAGTGTTTTAGGGGCCAGGCGGAGTCTGAGGCGTCTTCAGTAAGACTGAAGGGGGAGCGAACACGTGAAGGTCAAGAGGGCGGGGGAGAGGGGCGGAAGGCAACGTGATCAATAAAAACAAACATACGACCCGTCCGCGCGTGTCCAGAAGAGACGCCGCTTAATTTTCCTGTAATTGACTTTTCACCAAAGATTAAAAAGAAAAAAAAATGTGTTGACAACGTGCACGTGTGCAGTCCCGAGAAGGTGGGGAGGAGGCGGAGGGGCTCGCAGAGCCGCACCCTCCCGGATCCGGTCCCAGCGACCGCAGCAGGCGTGCAACCCGCCCGCGTCTTCTAGTTCCAGACTGGGGCGAGGGGCACCGAGGACTGGGCGCGGGGGACGACAGGCTCCGTTTGCAAGAGCGGGGGAGGCGGGGGGGAGGTGCAGAAGAGCTCGGAGGTAGGCGGGAAGCTGCTTCCGGACTTCAGGGACCGAGCTCGTTGGGGGCGGGGCTGCGGGCTTCTCTCCTGGAGACAGGGGTTCACCTCGAGATCCCGACTGCAGGCTCGTCTACTCAGGCTCCTCCCACAGGTGGGAGGGATGCTGTAGTCTCCCGCCTGCAGCTCTCTCTCTCTCTGAGCTCTTACCCTAGCCCGAGGCAATCTCGGGTGTATTCGCCTGCCCCCAGTTCTAACCCTATACCTCCCACCACCACCCCTCACAGCCCCTTCATTTCTCTCCCCCCTCCCCCACCCCACCTGCGTGAGAACTCCCAGGATCTGGGAGAGAGTGGACTGGAACCAAGAAAAGGCAAGCGATGAGAATCCAATGGTCTTGCGTGCTTCATGTAGGGAAAAGGGACCAGCCAAAGAAACACACTTTGGCCCTGCAACCAGAACCAAAGAAATGGACCCTGACCCTGAAACCAGTGCCAAAGAAACACACTTTGTGTAGGGAAAAGGGACCAGTCAAAGAAACACACCCTGAGCAGAGCCAAAGAAACACAGTTTGGCCCTGCAACCAGAACCAAAGAAATGTACCCTGACCCTAAAACCAGTGCCAAAGGAACACACTTTGTCCCTGGAATCAGAGTCAGTGAAAGAAATGTACCCTGGCCCTAAAATTGGAGGCAAAAGGCTAAAAAGGACCAGAGAAAGAAACACACTTTGGCCCTGAAACCAGAGCCAAATCTGACCCTAATCCTGTGTAAAAAAGTAACCAATCCCGGAGCAGAGCTCTAGCCAATCTGAGCTCAGCACTGAAATCGGACCAATCCCTACTCTGGAAAAACTTCCCCAACCCCAAGAATCCCTATATACACCCTGTGTATGTTCAGCTTGGCTGGTCCAGCTGTCTTCCAATAAACACCTTTGGATGAGCTTTGGGTGAAGATCTTCTTTTGCGGCGGCGACAGAGCAAAGGCGACCCTGGGCAGAGCAGAGCAGAGCAAGCAGAGGCGACCCTGGGCATAGCATAGCGAGCAGCGCTGTAATACTTGCCCGGGAAACCTTCCTTGGCAGAGCAGAGTTGTTACACTCTGCTCCCGGCTCCCTGATCTCCGCTCTCCAGGAGCAGAGCTGAACTGTAGCAACTTCGCCCGAGAAACCTCCTGCCTAGCAAAACTGCTACACTAGGTGGAAGACCCTGTCCTGCCGGAGCTGAGCTGACACACCGGAGAAGCCTTTCTCTGAGGCAAGGCTGTAAGCTGCCAAGCTTACTGCAACCTGTGGTGGTCCTTGGCTCCCGAGCTCCAGGATAGCGTTCCACCTGAGCTGTGTAACACTCAGTATTCTGTGACTCCCGAGTGTCAGAATACCTGACTCACTCCTCTTCCATCCTGTCCTGACCCATCCCGAAACGCTTACACTTTGTCTCTGGAATCAGAGTCAGTGAAAGAAATACACCCTGGCCCTAAAACTAGAGCCAAAAGGCTAAAGCAGACCAGAGAAAGAAACACATTTTTGCTCTGAAACCAGAGCCAAATCTGACCCTAATCCTGTGCAGAAAACTAACCAGTTCTCAGCATTGAAATCGTAGCAATCCCCACCCTGGAAGCCCTATATAAACCCTGTGTTGGTTCATCTTGGGACTGTTCTTGCTACCTGGCTGTCCTCTTCAACTCTGGCAGAGGGCAGCCACTCTTCTGGATTCTTCCCTCCCGATAAACCCCTTCGATGAGCTTCCGGTGAAGACCTTCTTTTGTGGTGGAGCAGAGACGACCCTGAACAGAGCAGGGCCAGTGGGGCTGTAACACTTTTGCCAGGAAAACCTCTGGCAGAGCAGAGTTGTTATACTCGGTTCTCCACTCTCCCGGGAGCAGGGCTGAACTGTAGCAACTTCGACCGGGAAACCCTCTCCTTCCTGCCAGAGCAAAACTGCTACACTGAGCAAACATCCCCAGCTGGAAGACCCTCTCCTGCTGGAGCAGAGTGGATACACTGGGGAAGCCTTTCCCTGAGGTAGGGCTGTAAGCTGCTATGCTTACTGCAGCCTGTGGTAGTCCTTGGCTCCCAAGCTCCAGGAAACCTTTCCATCTGAGCTGTGTAACACTCAGTATTCTGTGACTCCCAAGTGTCAGAATACCTGTCCCACCTGATCCGTCCGAAATGCCTACAGTTCAGGCCAAGACAAACATTACAGGTTTGGGTTTTTTGAGACAAAGCCTCACAATATAATGCAGGCTGGCTTGGAGCTCACCCTGTAACCCTGGCTACCCTTGAACTCCTGGGTTATCTTCCAATCTCTTTAAAGTGCTGGGATTTTAAACACAGCTAGCACACCTGACCTGTAAAGTTTTTGAAGACTGAGGTTCGGTTTCCTTTACATTACTTTAATAATGTTTCAATTTTTACGCTTTAAAATTTTTTATTTTATATTAAAATTTTTACTTGGAAAAATAAAGATGGTAGCAGGTTGTTCAAAGATAGTTAGGACTCCAAGAAGGGTGGGAGCCAGCACTTTGCTGGAAGTTAAGGGACCTTTGGAGAACTCTGAGTAGGTCTACAGGAAGTGGCTAGGGTATCAGTCCCTGGACCTGGGAACTGAGGACTCCAGGAAGTCTTGGCCAGGACAGGGATGACAGTCCTTCCTAAAGGAGCAGATCACTAGCCTTCCACCTACCTGCTGTAGGATGGAGAGCAGGAGGCCTCTGACATCTGAGGGGCAAAGGTCCTTTCAGAGGCAGGAGGTGAGCTTGAGGGCGGGGCATTTGCAGGAGGGTGTACCTGTTTATGTATAAGTTCTGGAGCATGCTTTCCCGTGTTATGGTTATGCATCTGGCCTCTTAGGAGAGTCACATCTGCTACAGGATACAGCGCACTCCGGTGGCAACTTCCAGAGGGTTACACACGCACTCCAGAAAATGAATGGTTCACAGTTTGCTGCTGTCACTTAAAATCACCATTTTAGTTCGCTGAGTATACATTATATAAGACACCTTGTAAAATCTTTACCTAGATTGCCTTGTCATTGACTGTGGGAAAACAAGCCAGCCACAATACCTAAATCTAGTCTTCAACTGGGACATCTATGCCATGGCCGTTATATGCATAAAGCCATATTTTGCAAACTCTGATATGTATGTAAGTCATTTGGAGACATTTACGTGTAGATTATGAGACATCTGTAGCAGGAACCCTTCCCACTAATGCTGGAAGGTCTTGTTTGTTGAGGGCATGCTTGAGATATCAGTTAGGAAATGCTCATAAGCTAAAAATTGTTCAACTCAGGCTGTACAAGGTCTCCCTAGCTTGTAAGTTTCTTGTTCTAAGGGAGTGGGATTCTGAAATCCAGTAGACAGGTTCTATAGTAGTTCTGAGAATTTCAACAAATCCGTATCTTTGTGATTGCAAAGATGTACAAATGTTCTCCTGAGGCTAGCCAAAGCTATCAGTATCTAGCAGGCAGCAGGGCTCAATAAGCATTAATATCTTTGAGTAGAAGAATTTGGTTGGGGCTGATCTCAGATTTAACAGCTGGAAAACTAGTTATAATGCATGTAGACAGGGAAACAAGGAGGCCTGCGCCCTCATGTGGTGAATACATGAACTGCAAGCACAGTGAGTAAATGTGGTCTCCTCCCACCAGCTGGGTCCTTAAGGAGGCTCTCTGGATGGTAGCTCTACAGGATTTGGACATTCTGATGATCTCTGAGACTCCTATGGTCTGAGTTTCCTTTGTCTTCATTCAATTCTCCCAGGCCATCTGTCGGAGACCACTGAGACACTAAGCTTCCACATTCTTAGCAACTGAACCCCTATAAACCCACTAAACTCTCATAGTCTTGTACCTCCAGGAAGGGATGGAGGGATTGGCAGAAATTATCCCACCCTCATTATGCTAAATAAGGCTTTCTTCAGTCTCCATTTGTTTCACCAAGCGTGAGGGCACCCTAGACAGACTTGAAATGGTTCATCTGACAGACAGCATTCCAACCCCAGGATATACCATAGATATGGAACTCAGACTGATCTTGAACTTGTGATCCTCCTGCCTCCACCTCATGAGTGCTGGGGTAACATCTGTATACCTGATTTATGCAGTGCTGAGGTTCGAACCCAGGGCTTCCTGTATGCTAGGTAAGCACTTTACCAATGAAGGCAAATCCCCAGCCTAAACCTTTCTCTTTTAAGTGAATTATCTCAAGATGTTTTGTTGTGGCAAGGCAAAAGTGGCAATTACAGTCAGCATGCCAAGCTTTGAGCTCAGGGGCTCCTCGTAATAACCCTCCAGCCCTATATATTACATGTTCAATGATGAGAAGTTTGTGGCCATTACCATCAACCCAACCAAATGCAGTCACAGCTAAGCTGCCTCCCGCTCAGAAGCTGTGGCCAATGCATATCCGTCTGCATCCAGCTTAACCTGGGTTCCAGAAGGTTGCATCAGCCGGAATCGTGACTATAAAACAATGCGATTTCTTATGTAGATTTGTCCCTTGAGAAAGTGATTTATCCTAACGACATCAGTTTGCACCCCACTTCTCCCTCCTCCCAGCCATGTCCCAACAGTGTGGAAATGTATCTTTGTTGTTGATGATGATTGAGACAATGTTCACCACCACGCCTGACTGCATCTTTTATAGTCTCTTGGATACAGCAACTCAGGCTTCCTTAAGGATTGCTTGAGTAGGGGAAGTAACAAATCTGACGATCAAAGAGACCGAGGTATCTTAATTGGAGAGAGGTACCAGTTATGAGTGTATGCAGAAAGAGTCATGTACTGAGACTATGCAGAATTTTGTTCCGAATCCATTTGTAAAGAGAACATTTTGTTTGTAAATGTTTCAAACAAAAATGCCCTGACAAAAAACCATGAACCTCCTCTGGTCAACAGTTTGGAATCTCTTCTTACTAGGACTCACCTGACTGACAGTAGTGTTGAAGAATGTTATTTTAAGGTGTGTTACCATTGTTTCTGTTACATGTGTTTAACTCTGTGAAGCTGTGTTACTGTGCCAGTCTAAAACACCTGATGGTCTAATAAAGAGCTGAACAGCCAATAGCAAGGCAGGAGAGACAAACAGGCAGGGCTGGTAGGCAGAGAGAATAAATAGAAGGAGAAATCTGGGAGGAATGAGAAGAAGTAGCCAGAGAAGGAGGAGGACTCCATGGGCCAACTACTCAGCTACACAACTAGCCACAGAGTAAGAAACAAAGAAAGGACCCAGGCGTTGGTGGTGCACACCTTTAATCCCAGCACTCGGGAAGCAGAGGCAGGGGATCTCTGTGAGTTCGAGGCCAGCCTGGTCTACAGAGTGAGTTCCAGGACAGCCTCCAAAATCCTGTCTTGAAAAACAAACAAACAAACAAAAAAGAAAGAAACAAAGAAAGGTACACATGAATAGAGAAAGATAAAAGCCCAGAGGTAAAAGATAAATGGGATAAATGGGAAGTTAAGAAAAATGGCTAGAAGTAAGCCAAGCTAAGGCTGGGAATTTATAAGTAATAACAAGCCTCTGTATGTGATTTATTTGGGAGCTGAGTGATGGGCCCCCAAAAAGAGTAAAAACCAACCAACACCCCGACGCTCTCAGTTTAATGGGTTTAGCTGTTCTTTTAAGAGTTGAAAAGATTTTCTTGGACCACTAAGATGGGTCAGTTGAGCCACGTGGTGGTGGTGGTGCACGCCTTTAATTGCAGGGCTTGAGAGGCAGAGGCAGATGAATCTGTGAGTTCAAGGCCAGTGTGGTCTACAAAATGAGTTCCAGGACAGCCAGGACTATTACACAGAGAAACCCTGTCTCAAAAAGAAAAAACAAAAGATGGGTCACTTGATCACAGTGCTTGCCACACAAACCTGACAACCTGAGAGTGATCCCTGGAACCCGTGGAAAGGTAGAAAAGGAGAACTAACTCCCAGACATTGTTCCCTGACCTTCACTGGTGTGCTGTGGCATGTCTGCCCCTTCACACACTTAATAATTCCGGTCTTACATAGAATAGTGTGTGTGTGTGTGTGTGTGTGTGTGTGTGTGTATTATTAATACTAGAAGATAGCCAGGATGCTATGAGATCTGAGGCCCTAGACACCCGGTCTATTTGGCATAAGCTGGTCCTGAAGGTGGGTTATAGGCAGGGACCAAATGAGACAGGGCCTTGGGACCAGTAATTGCTTCATACTCCTCATACTGCACTGAGAAGGTGAAGCCAAAACAGAGGAGACAATTGTCTTTGTCTCACTGGGGTAACTATTTGTCCCTTGGGGGTCATTCAGGATGTGTCCTACATCAGGAGACGGGGGAGACCAGGGACCATCCAGTTAAACGGAGCTACAAACACTTACGCAAATGCTCTAAAAATGCCCCCCACACACAGGGTGACGACATCTTTGTGAGTAGGTGGGGACAGGAACTTCAGCTAATGCTGCTCCTCTGGTCCTCTCCAGGAAGCAGAAGTTGTCCTGAGATTTTTCCACTGCCATTCTCTCACCAGCCCCCACCGCCAACTCCAAGGTACCAACTGCCAAAACCATGAAGGGTAGGGGCAGCTCCTGCCCTTTGATCCTCTAAAAAAGGGCATGAGCATCAGACCTTCTAGAAAAGAATTCCGAGGGAAGGAGGAATACAGATAAATTTATTAGTTAAATACTGATTTTACAGCCATTTCACCTTAAGACAATGTTAACAGGTTGTGGGGTGGGGGGATATGGGAGGGTGGCCTTGAGGGAGAAAACAGTGTAAATGATGATTACAACAGGATCTTGGTTCAAAGCTATTCTCTGCTACGGCCAGCAAGGTTTAGGGTGGGGCTGGGAATTTGGGGTACAATGGGCAATGCCATAATTGGCTACAGCTCTGTGGGTGATGATGACAAGGAAGAATCTTTGGGGACCCCTGTAATGGGTGAGAGAGAAGACCAATTCTAGGACAGCCACACGCATGGCAATCCCATCAGGCCCCAAGACATCTTCCATCCGTCAGTCACCTTTGTCCTTGCACAAATTTCCTTTTGTTGTTTCTGCTTTGAGTTTATCTTGCAAACAACGCTGTACTTCCTAGAGAAAGGATCCTTGCTGGAGAAAGGCCCAGATCCAGGTAACTGTCTGACTTGAGAGGCCATGGCCTGGCAGGCTCAGAACAAGCAGCAAGCTGGAGCTCTGGGAACAGGGTTGTACTGTAGACACAGCCGTCAGAGGTGCAGATGAGCACAGTCACCAGCCTGCTTCAGTAGCAGGTTTTGTTCCTCTGGGGAACCCCTGTGTGTGACGGGGTATAAAAGGATGCTAAGAGCAGCACCAAGTTCCCCTGGCCCGCTACACAACTGAGCTCTAGTTTGCAGAGCGTAGAAGATGTTCAGGCTGGAGAGCAAGGTAAAACGTCAGAGTTCCCAGGAGAGGAAGAAGGGAAGGCACCGCTGCTGGGCTGTGATTTGATGGATATCCTGTGCGATGGGTGATATGCCTTCTCCGCCATCTCCCCAGCGGAGAACTCAGTGACATCTGCATTGCACCCAGCACCTTTGGAGTCAGATCTGGCATGGGGGGGCATGCAGGGACATGCCATGCTTCAAGGGGAGTGTTGGACAAGGGCAGGGCTGCCACGTCCAGCCCACATCAAGTAGACACCCTGCTCAGGCTGTAGATGGTGTCTTGAAGCTCAGGCCCCTACAGCCACCTTAGGAGCATAAAGAAAAACCCACTACCTAGAATCACTGGGTTGGAGAGTTAGGGTGAAGGAGATTATGTCTCTGTCCTGGACAAGCAGGTGGAGAATGAGAAAGAAGTCTCCTGCTACACTGAAGAGTCTCACCGTGCTGTGTTCGCAGTGAAGGTGGGATTGTCTCTAAGAACGCAGGCTCTTTCCAGTGCTCCACCTGGGAAAGGTGTTTGAAGGAACCCAGCACCCACATGCCTAAGTGATTGTCAACAACTTCAAGTTCTACCCAGTTGTTCTTCGGGAGTTGTTCCCAGACAAAGGGGCTGGCCAGGGTGCCCCAGACTCAGACTTTGCTGGCCCCCAGGTCCCAAGTCCGAGCAGGAATTTGAAGAGGGGAAGGGGGCGATTATGCAGTAATTATGTCCCCATGACTGTCAGCCAGGACTAGGCTGTTCCAAGAGTCCTGCTTGGAGCTGGCCTGTGATGTCTGAGTGACAGGAGATGCATAGCCTTGTGGGGAGAGCTTCAGAGCCGACAGCACTGGGTGGACGGAGGGCCCGTGGCCAGACACAGCACTGACAGAGAATGCCTGGAGGGCAGAAAGCACAGTGAGCCAGTAGGATGCTCCTGGGGACCCAAGGGCCAGGGCTGGGGAGGGGGTGAGGAGAAAGCACTCTAGCTGCTCTCCTAGTCCCTAGGGTCCCACTGCAGGGGGGGGGGTGTGCTTCCCGGTGGCTTCCAAGCACAGTGTAATCAGGGCCATAACCTAGGAGTTGTGTGCTACTGTGCTTTCTCGGAAGACTCTGACAGCCACAGGAGACTCTTATCACCGTTTCCAGGTCAGACAGAGCCTTCCAGGTCAGACTGAAGCCATCCTCTCCATCCTGCAAGGGTCCTAGCACTTTGCTTATGTGGAACCAGGTTCTCTCCGGTTTACCCTGATGGTAGAAAGCTCAAACAGCCTCTCACAAGTAATGGGGCCGGGGAAGGGAAACCACGACTTCCTCACCCCCAAAGAGGCAGAGGACCACCGTGACATGAAGAAGAGGCATGGTGCCCAGCTGGGCCATTCCGGAAGCTCTCAGGAATCTGGAGCTGACAAAATAGCTTTCTGCCCACCTATCACCCAGCCTGCCCTCTGGGTCCCCAGCCTGTGTCATGCTAACACGGTCCTCCTGCCTTCTCTGAAAAGCCTTCAAGCTCTAGAATTCAAGTTTGCTTCCAGTCCCAAGCCTGACTCAGGGAGTGGTGGGTGCTATCTCCCACAGGCATCCTGCATCCTTCTTGTTCCCAAAGCCACAGCACTGGGAAGATGGTAAATATGGTATTCTCTGTGTTCAAATCACCGCAGCTGGACAAGAGGTACCAAAGACTAATAAAAGGCTGGGCTATTTGGGGCGTAGCAGCTCAGGGTCACGCCACAGCTCACCTCCTAAGACTGGTCTGACCACCAGGGTTCTAGAATTTACTTTCCTGCTAGCCCTGACCCCACGCCCACCTGGGATATGGAGGTGCTGTGCCCATAGTGAGATGACAACCCAGGCTCTGTCTTGATGGGGCGCATCTCTTCGCTGCTGCTGCTGCTGCTGGTGGTGGTGGCGTTGCTGGAGTTGCTGGAGGCACTGCTGCTGGGAGGGAGGCTCTCACCAGGAGGACCTGCAAGGAGGCAGAGTCAGGAAACCCGGGCCCGCTGCAGGGACGGAGGCCCTATCTACATGTGCTGGGGAGAAAAGCAGGGATCCTTATGGGGAAGCATAGCGGTTCTCAAAACTGGACAGAAGCATCAACATTCCAAGATGACTATTTTACCTTCTGAAAACAGTGTCTGATGTGGTTCAGGCTGGTCTCGAACTCACTATGTAGTTAAGAATGCTACTGAACTGGTATTCCTGCCTCCGCTTCCTGAGTGCTGGGATTATAGGCCTATGCCTCCATGCCCAGTTTATGCAATGCTGGAGATCGGAGCCAGGGCTTTGTGTGTTCTAAGTAACACACTCCCCTCACGGAGCTACATCCCCAGCCCCAAGGGACCCATGAAGACTCCAGGATCCCTCATGACCCTAGATCCATAAGCCCAGGACACCACATTCTGTTTTGGGATTCCATACTCTCGATGTTGTTTTCAAATGTAAATACTATATATTTCAAGAGATTGCCAGAGGGTTCTGGGACAACAACCTATAATTAACTATATTAATTTCTCTGTAGCACAATGTGAACAGCCACACTGTCTGGGGTAAGTGGAGATTGCAAATGGCCTGTGCTGCTCCACAGCAGCTCCTGCTACAGAATTTATTTTCCTGGATTCCGACTTACGGGTTGAGGGCTGCCCAGCTGAACCCAGGGGCTCTGCTGCAGCCATCGTCCGTCCAGGAGGCAGAAAGAGGTAGGACAGGACCCCTGGGGAGTGTCAGAAGGTTCCGGTAGGAAATACTTCTTCTAGAACCCCATGTCTAATGTAGGAACCTAAGATGCTGGCCATGGCTTTGGTGGTGAAATGGGCAGCATTGTGAGTCTGCCTGCCTGGGGTGAGAAGGTGAACTCACTGTTTACCACATCAGCCAGGTCATTCCCTGCTGAAGCCAGGAAATCCTAATTTGGCAGTGTGGACCACAGGAGGCTCTGGGTAGCAGACTTTAGTGACTCTCTCTCTCTCTCTCTCTCTCTCTCTCTCTCTCTCTCTCTCTCTCTCTCTCTCTCTCTCATTCTCTCTCATGTGTATGTATGTCATTTATTTATTGGTGTTTTGCCTGTGTGTATGTCTGTGTGAAGGTGGCAGAAGCCATGGAACTGGAGTTACAGACAGGTTTGAGCTGCCATGTGGGTGCTGGGAATTGAACCTGGGTCCTCTGAAGAGCAGCCGGTGCTCTTAACCACTGAGTCATCTCTCCAGTTCCATACCCTTCTTCTTAAACTAGCAATTAAGAAGGCACTGCCAGATGTGGAGGTTCATGCCTGTAATCCTAGCACGTAGGAGGCTGAGGCAGGAGGGTCATGAGTTCAAGGGTTACTTTGAGCCGCATAGAAACTCTGAAGACAGAGCAGCATGTTGAACAGACCGCTGATCCCGGAGTGAACATTCCGGATCCCAGTCAATAGTGATGTGATTTTAAGCCATTGTGCTTGAACCCCGGTTTGCTCATTAGGAAGATAGGCTGACAGACTGCTTCTGTGGGGTCTTAAGGGAATCCCTGAAGGAACTTGTGCAGGTTCAGAGCACTCCATGACATTAATGTACCCCGATTACAGATCAGTCTGTCAGGAGCATGGCTAATGGGAAATGTCTGCTTTGGTCACAGCATCAAACATGGGGGCGGGGGGGATGAGCAACACTACTCTCGGGCCCCACACCGGTCCAATCAGCCTATTGCAAGGGCAATCATCATGTGACATCATGGCCCTGGCTTCTTTTCTGTCTTTCTGTCTTTTAGTCTGTCTGTCTGTCTGTCTCTCTTTCTTTCTTTTTCTGTCCTAGGAGAAGAGATGGAGGAGGAGGGTACCCCCATACCCTGGCAGCCTACTGGGGCAGACATGGTTAGTGCTCTGGGAACTCCTGACTTGTTCGCATACTTACACTGAGATCTTTTCCTCACCTGCTGAGGCCTTAGATTTATTCAGGTTCTTGGGCTTTCGTTTCCTGGTTTGAATCCCCTCCTTCCGCATTGCAAGAGGCCTGGGTACCTGAAGGGTTGGAAGTTAATATATGAATTTCCGTTTGTAGATCTCTCTCTCTCTCTCTCTCTACACACACACACACACACACACACACACACACTAAATGAAGGTTTGAAGAAGCAGCAGCACATGGATTCTATTCTTGAGGGAAGACAAGTGAGACCTGCAGAATGGAATGGATGAGGCTCCTTGTCAGGCGGAGCTGAGGGCATGAGGGGGCGTAGGCAGGGCACAGGCGGGGCACAGCGGGGCAAGGCATCCACTTACCCCATGGAGCTTCATGTAGAGGCCGCAGGCATTGCACACAGGCTCGCCCTCGGCATTGCGGCGCCACAGTGTAGTGGTGGTGGTCTGGCAGTTGGCACAGGAGAGGCCTACCCGGCGGGAAGCAGACTACAACACAGATAGAAAGGAAGTGTTTTGTGCCCAGCAGGGCTAAGCCAGAATGGTCTCCGTGAGCCCTCAGGCCAGTCTTGGCACTGTCCCTAGGTATCTAGACCACTCATAGGAACAGATGGGGGCCAAATCAGAGAAGGACCCCAGGGTATGGCATAAATGACCTGGACACTGTCAACAGAGAATCTCTTCCCAAAGGTGGAGCTCATGGATGCCAGTGTCTGATCATGTTTGGGGTGGGTGAGGAATTTGAGAGGCCTCAAAGAGGAAGCTTCAGGATATCTCTCTCTAGTCTCCTTCTCTGTCATACACCAAAGCGGGTTGTTATTGGTCAGAGTCAGGTGGAAAAAAAAAGCACAGCTCCAGGCAGCAAATACCTGGCCCCAGCCAGGACCCACACCCATGGCTTTGCCTTCTTGGACTCTGGGTCTTTCCAGGGGGTCAACTGAAAATAAGACAACTTCTGGCTTATGTTGACCTTCAGGACAAAGGGACTGGAGATCGGGAGGTCTGGATCTGGCTCCCACTCATCTCTCTGAGATTCATTTTCTACTATGCATGGTGGTGGGGGTAGACTAGCCGGGCCAGCATCTTTGAAGTGAGCCCAAGCTCCCTCCTTCCTCCCACCCAGTTAACCCCTCAGCTCATGTCATCCAATTCCAAAATTGAAAGCTCAGCATGAGCCTCAAGGTTGTATGCAGAGGGGGTGGCGGGGGGAGCTGGCTGCTCTCTGGGCTGGTGGACCGAAGCCACAGAGGTTCTTGCTTACCAGTCGGCGCTGAGGCTTAATGAGGGGTCGGTTGATGCCGTTCATCTTGTGGTAGAGGCCACAGGCATTGCACAGGTAGTGTCCTGTCCCATCTCTCCTCCAGAGCGGGGTAGACATGGCCCCACAATTGACACACTCTCTGCCTTCCGAGAAGTCATCAAACATATCTACTGGGGGAGGACACGGGAGAAAGGACACAAATGATTACCTCCTTGTTTTGTTCAGAGACCTTTCACCTAGAGAGCAGGGCTGGAGGTCTCCCAGGAGAGTCATTCTTCCTGGGTCAGGACCGCAAGGCCAGTGGGTTCCACTGTCTGCCACCCAGATGCAGCAGAGCTTCCTGAGGAGGGGTCATCAGCTACCTAGGCTATAGGGGACATTTTGGGGTCCAGGTCTTGCCTCCATGGCATCCACCTAACCTACTCAGACCTTTTTCTTCATTTCTCCTTTTCAGAACTATGACGGTGATGATTTGAACATGAAATGCCCCACAGGCTTATGTTCTTGTACACTTGTTCCCCAGCTGGTGGCACTATTTTGGGAAACTGTGGAACCTGGTTAGGAGGCGGGGCCTGACTGGAAGAAGTCTGTCGCTCAAGGCTATGCTGGGCCCCTTGTTCCTTTCCTGCTATCCCTGCCTTCTGGTCTGCTGCACTCTAAGAAACCTCCACTGTTTGCTGTCCACTCTGCTATGTCTCCCTCACAACAGCAGACTGAATCCTTATGAAATCATAAACTAAAAATAAATCTGTCTTCTGTTAAGCAGTTTCTCTGGGTATTACAGTCATAATAATTGCAAAAGTAACTCATACAGATTATTTTCCCTTTGGTTAAACATATTTATATTATATAATTAGTGGTGAAACATATAAAGAAAATACAGGTCGTGACCTGTGCTGTGAGCATGTTATTTTAGTCTATCCTTTGTAAGACTTTCTATGTTGACACATACTTTTGCCTAGTTGAGGTCAAGGGATATGGCCAAACCTATCTTGCTTTTCTTTGTTTGCTTAATGGCCTAATGTGTTGCCACACTAGAAATGTATTATAAACTCATTTTCAGCACAGTGTGATAATAGCCCATCATTGAAATGTGCCCCCTTTCCGCTCTGCTCTTCAGTAACTGCTTAATCTCTGTCTCGTTTCTGATATTTGTTTTGGTAAACACTGGCCTCTTTGTATGTACGTCTGTGATGAGTTTCTGGTTATTACTCTGAGTGCTATCCTAGAACGAGAGTATCTAGGTCACAGAGACTAGCGTTCTATTTACATTCTTAAATTTATCGTTCACTTAAGTTTCCTGCTTGTGGTGGTTAGCTTGATTGGTCAGCTTGACACCTCAGAACTGTTATCAACCAGAATTACCTCAGGAAAGAGTCTCAACGAGGGACGGCCTATTTGGGGTTGGCTGTGAGCATGCGTATTGTCTGAATTAAGTTCACTGATATGGAAAGACCCTGCCTAGTGTGGGCAGCACCATTCCCTAGGCAAGGACTCCTGGACTGTTCAGGAGGAGCGCAAGCAAGAGACCGAGCCAGCAAATATGCGTGCATCCATTTTTCTCTGCTCTTGGCTGTGGGTGTGGCCTCAAGCTTCTGCTGCTGTAGCCCCCTGCAGTGATGGACTGCAACCTGGAATCGCAACCTAAAATAACCCCTCCCTCTTCTCCGTTTCTTTTTTGTCAGGGTATTTTATCACAGCAACAAACGTGAAACCGGGATCATACTTTCAACATATATGCATGATCTTATGCTATTGTTTGCTGTTTTTCCTCGTATATGGGCCATACAATAAAGACGCATAATCAAGTCCATCAAGTGTGAGTGTTGGCCCTCCACAGGAAGACTGTCTTTGTCTGTCACCCCTTTCTTCACTAACCCTTCCTTTCACTTTTATGTCTGCAGAATTCTGCAGTGGGTGAGCCCCCGTGTCCCTTTTCACAGCCTGAGTGGAGTTGGTTTTCTTACTCCCTTTGACCTATATAAAACCTGCTTATTGACTCATGCCACCCAAGTTTTCTGTCCTTAAGCAGAGCCACCCTGGTCTCTGAATTGCCCTTGTCCTGATACGAAAGGCAAAACTGCGTTCTCCTCTGGGGAGGCCATCAGTACCCTTCAAAGGCCATCCTTCCCTCAGACCCTGGCCCGGGGGTTTTAGGCTGCACACTTTGCCAGCTTCACTGTTCAGTAATCAGCTCTAAGGGAATGTTGACTGGACAAGGGTAGGGCGCCCTCCCCGTAACTCTGGGCGCGCAAACAGCCATTTACACCTGCAAACAGGTAGCAGTGTGTTTATACCAAGCAAACAATGTACAGGTGTGAGGGGCTGTTTGCTCAGGCCAGGGAGTTAAGTAAGGCCAGCACAGAGAGGCTGTTTTTACACCTGTGTCACACTGACGGCTCCTCATCAAGGTCACCTGCCTCCAGAGGTGACTCTTGTCCAGGGCTTGCTCTCTTCTTGGCCACCATCATCAGCACCTGTCAGTCTTGCTCTTTCCTCAAGTCCCCTGAGAGCAGTAGAAAGGGCCAAAGTTCCCAGAGTCAATAGCCAGCAGGGCCAAGAACTAGCCGTGGCGGCCCTTTGTATGCCATGAACACTAGATGGCGCTACAGCCTCAAAGTTGAACCAAGACCATAGACTGGGTTAAATCCCACCTCGGGAGGGAAGACTTTGCTCATCAGTCCAAACCTACTGCAGCCCTTTGGTTCTGTTTGTCTTTACCTTGAAAAAGTTATATCCCAAAGATGGCAGAATATAAAACACACTCCTATTTAACCATCAGCCAGCTTCTAGCGATTGATGAACAATGTCACCTCGCCGGAACCATTATATCCATCCTGTTCTACAGAAGAAAACCTGAGGTCCTGTCCTTGTCTCAGCCTGTTTCTCCAACAGGTAAAGATGCTCACACCAGTTTCTCTCTCACTTTGGTTCATCTAAAGTCTAGGATGAAAACTCCTCGTGCTCTGTTGCTGTTTGTGAGAGGGAAGAATCCCCGCTTTTCTTCAGACTTAGTACATCACACGTGTGCATATCACTGAGGGAATTAATGGTGTGCGGGGGGGTGCATCCTGTCTGCTATTCACTTACCCTCCCCTCTCTGGTGACTCAACACAAAGGGTGACCTGGAAAACTCGTGCAAGTACACCTCAGGTTACCCATTCTAGCAACTGTTTTCTCACCCAGATAAAGTCTCCAGGCATCGGCAAATGTGTATTTGTCACCCACAAATATTTACCAAACACCTGTGATTTAAGCAGGACAACAGCTGCCACAGGAGCTAAGAGGGTGCCTTGCTCTCGGAATGCTAATGATCGCGTTTAACAAACTGGACCCGAACATCAATCACTAGTGAGTGACGAGATGACTCACTCCATTTTCAGGACTCTCAAGAGAGTGTGGGGCTCATGGCAGAAACCACTGGTCCAGGATAGGAAATGTGGAAGTCCAACCCAGGCAGAGCAGCCGGTGTCACTCAGGAACCAAAAGAAGGGACTGGACAGGAAGCAAAGACCAGGCTTCCTCGAGACGCCTGGCTAGGCATACCTGTGCACATATTCCACCACAAAATCTTACTACCCTACCCGCTCAACGGAATGTTATGGGAAATTTTATTAAAAAAAGATTTATGTGTATGAGTCTTTTGCCTACATGTATGTATGTGTACCGTGTGTGTGCCTGGTACCTGCAGAGGTGAGAAGGCATTAGACCCCCTGGATCTAGAAGTACTGGTGGTTGTGAACCACCATGTAAGTCCTGGGAACCTAATCCCAGTCATCTGCAAGAGCAAGTGCTCTTAGCCACCGAGCCATCCCTCCAGCCCCTGCGTGGAAACTTTAAATGATTAACACAGAGGCCATGTAATGGAAGAGCAAAATGCCAACTCTGGCATGCAAACCAGACCATGCAAGGTGTCCTGTAGTGTGGTGGCAACAGGCTATGAGAAAGAAAGCAGCTTTGGCTGGACTAATAGTGAGGACTTGCGCTTCTATGAAAGCTTTGGTCTATACATCATAACTATTCATTTTTAAAATTCCGATTTTGAAAACTAACGAATCTGATCCCCAAACAGTTTATTTACTCCCCAGGGCTGGGGAATGGAAAGAAGGCATCCATCTCAGCTGCTTAACACTTACTCTGGGGGAGAAGGGGTGCTGGGCTGTGAGCCCCAATCCAGCATCTCTTACTGTTTCCCAGGAAAAGCACAGGGTGTAACTTCCCAGAGGGTAAGTTGAGGGCCCAGCCATGGCTCCAGCCTGTAATAGCCTGTCTCCCAATCCCACCCCTCTCTAGTACAGGCACTGGTCCACCCACTTGGAATCCAACCCCCGGGAGTGGGTCAGCATCTCTCCACTCTGAGAGGACAGTCTTGTAATAATAGCTGTAAAGCACTTTGCAAATAAGAGGAAAAACTCCCAACAATGGCTGTGGAGTGCTCTGCAAACACCCAGTGAGATAACGAAGATTATTGTTCTGTGGCTGGAGAAGAGGGGCAGACCAGGGACAAGGGAGACAACTAGGGAGAATTGGAGAGAAGACTTGGAAATCTAACGCTTTCTGGCATTGGATCCATGGGGTTCCCAAATCAAGTTTGAGGCTGCAAGCTACAAACATTGGAAGTGAAACTTCACACTCTATACCTAGGAGTTTTCAGAATTGCTGCTCCATAGGAAATGGATTATTTTCCTAATCCCAAAGATGGGCACCTAAATCCTCACTACCATCCCATGTCTTACTTTAAACGTCCTGTTTAAAAAAACAGGACTATATTCCTAGAAATCATGGCAAACTACACCCACCCAAATTCCCAGAAGGAAAACAGGACTGATGTAATTACAGGTGGGGACTCAACCTACCCCTGGCCTGCTCCCGCAGAACTCATCCATCTGTGTCTGCAAATCACAGAAAGCAAATGTGGGCTGGGGGAAGGACAGGAGGGGCTGGAAAGGAGACAGAGAGGGAACAATGCCCCTCTGTGCCCAGAGATTGGCATTTGTCCCTTGACCTTTGGGAAACAATCCCAGGTAGCTGAGTGCCACACAGGCCTAACCCGTCCTGGATGTGTCCTGGAGTCTTTCATCTGCTATCGGAGAGCTGAGTCTTAAGACAGAGACCATGCCGGGGGAACCCTCACTCTATGTTTGGGTACCAACTTTGATGCAGTCTCTTC